TGCCATACAGTGACACACCACACTACCACACACACATGCCACACACAGTGACACACCATACATACCACACACATCACACAGTGACAAACACCACCCACACACCACCCACACACACAGTGACACACTCACAGTGACATACCATACACCACCCACACAGTGACACACACACAGGATTCTTGACATGGTCAATAGCTTCTGAAGTGACAGAACTATGGTAAGGAATGTGAAAAAACTCCCCTGTCCATTGTCCAACTGCACAGCAAAGGGGTGAATGTTACCTGGGCTGGGCAGACTTTCAAATGTCTCTGGTAGGCCAGGGAACATCTAAAACTCACAGGCCGCTCCCTCAGTCTCACTGGGTGTGATGCACTTTTAAATCATCCGGATTGACAACTCATTTCTGTAGAACTGCAGAGTAGTAGAGTATATAGTGTAGTGTAGTGTTTTGTAGTGTACGGTAGTGTATAATGGTGGTGTGTAGTAGTGTAGTGTATAATGGTGTAGTGCATTGTATAGTGTAGTATACAGTGTATAGTAGTGTATAGTGGTGTGGTATATAGTAGTGTAATGTACAGTGTAGTGTATAGTAGCATATAGTGTAGTATACAGTGTATAGTAGTATAGTGGTGTGGTATATAGTAGTGTAATGTACAGTGTAGTGTATAGTAGCGTATATTGGTGTAGTGTATAGTGGTGTATAGTAGTATAGTAATGCAGTGTAGTGTATAGTAGCATATATTGGTGTAGTCTATAGTGGTGTATAGTAGTATAGTAATGTTCTAGCAAGAAGTACCCGGCTTTTACCCGGGAGTAAAAACATCGATCCTTCCTGATGTTGGTCAGGGTATGAGCAGATACCAAGGATTTCAGTGGTCAACAAAAAAAAAATTCTGGCCTGGACTTTTGCAGCTGTTTTAGACTAATTTCAGGGTGCCGATTCCAAATCTGATCTCAGATTTGCTCTATCACATCTCATTTTTATGCTATCGGCATACCCCATTTTCATTGATTTTACCCGAAATTAACTCTTGTCACTTATGATTGCAAGTTGTTGCGAGTCGGTGACTGCTTTAGTGTTAAAATACGGTGCTGTATTTTTAGGATAGTGTGTTTATAATATCATTTTATGTAGATATCCACATTTATTTAATATTTTTCTTCTGCAGTTTTTATTGAAAATGCAATATTTGATATCTCAAAAACGTGACGTGATAGACAAAAACTGATGCCAGATTTGAAATCAGCACCCAAAAATTACCTCAACACCGTTGGAATACCTTGTGCCAGAAAAAGTGTGTTGACCAGTGTTATTTAATAAACAGGTCCCTGCGGGGTGGGCTGGTAGGAACGAACAAATGAATGGCTATAATAAAATGAAATGGCAAAAAATGGACGACGGGGGGGTAGGGAGTTTATTTGAATGTAAAAGCTTTAAATTTAAAAGTTTCTATTTAAAAACATCAGGGAATGTAACATTGTTAAACATTAACTCCCTTTCACACACGCGGGGGTACGATACGAAGGGAGAGTTTGAGGCCTAGTTCTAGGCTTTAGGCCTAGCTGTAGGCTTTAGGCCGCTGTGAGTTAATTTTTAATTTAAATGTTTTAATTAAAAACTATCTCAGGGAATTATAAGGGAATGTTACACTTGTTTAGCCAGGAAAGCCTCACTGAGTCTAAAGGTTTTTGTAGGGTCTTGTCAAGTGTTTGCAGTAGGGGGCGATGTTGCTACACCTAATCGGACATCGGACGGACGGACGATATAATCTATTGTAGGCTGGTTCACTTCGTTCCTATATAATTATAATCCGATCTCTGGTTGGTAAGCTAAAGCTGCTGTTCCAGTCTGGGTTGTTTCTTCTTGCTGCAGCTGCGTGACGGACTTGCCTCTAAGGCACCGTTTTTTTATGTTGAGGTTCCTCAGCCCGTGCTGCTGCATTGACTGTGCAGTCTTTGGCTTGTCTCCACGCACGCTGTTCAGGATTTTCCTCAGCCCGTCCTTCTACAGCAGTCACTTTGCCAGTCTCTGAATTGTCTCCATGCACGCTGATCTAGAGTATCATCAACGACCTATAGAATTACTTTGATAGGTTAGTGTGGTGTATGTACGTCGCATCTCTTTCGCACCGTACGTAGCCAACTGGGCAAATCGGAGGTGCCCTTAAAGAAACCTTATCTTTAGGGAGGTGGTGGGCAAAAGTCAGCGTGCCCTAAAAGCGTTATCTGTGCGGGTTTATAAAAAGCACACACGCAGACAAAGATCTCCCCTATAGCCTTTAACAGACGGCTGGGGCAAGTGCTGTTAGCGTGTAGCAGCGCCAGAAAGGCACACGAGGGGGTGGGTGGCCAGCACCACGCCCGGCCGCCTTTGTCTCCCCGGGTAATAATTTGAGGCTGAGTCGACCTAGGGGAGGCCCAGGACCGGTTGTTCAGATAATCGCAATCACTGGTGGTGGTGTTCGTGAAGGTGGAATCCAACTTGGGTCTCTGCAGAGTTCGTAGGGCAGCGTAGCGCTATCCGCTACACCACCACCGCTTCCCATACAGATACACACACAACCGCCATTCGCCACTAAGTGGCGGTGACGTCACCACGACGCTTGTGCCAGGCCATGTGCACCTTGAGGCCACGTGAAGTGTCGAACGCCCGCTGGCAGGTGGTCACGGGGCAGACCCAGCAGGTGCCACCGGTCGACTGAGATGACTGGCTAATGCACCACCTGTGCCCCCTACTGTGCCAACTTGCTGTGCTTTAGCCACCCGGCGCTCCGCTCATTGTTGTAAGCGTCGCTCCTCCGCCCTCCGTTGTTGTTGGAGGGCGACTGCCTCCAACTGCCCAGTAGCGTCCTTCACGAGCCTCCTCCACTGAGGCCGATCTTGACACCGCTGGTACCGCTTCCCATACATATACACAAAGATCCCCCGTATAGCCTTAACAGACTGTAGGGGCAAGTGCTGTTAGCGAGCACCTATGAAGGCCAGAACGGTACACGAGGGGGTGGGTGGCCAGCACCACGCCCGACCGCCTTTGTCTCCCTAGTGGCGATGTTTACACACCGCACCAGGTACTCATTTGAGGCCCAGGACCGGTTCAGATAATCGTCACCGGTGTTGGCCGTGAGCGGGAATCGAACCCGGGTCGCCAGGTTCGTAGCGCAGCGCGCTAACCACTACACTACCGCTCCCCACTATACACACACACAGCTACACACAAAGACACACACAGCTACACACAAAGACACACACAGCTGCACACAGACACATACAGCTGCACACACTATCAGCATTGTACAATGTTCGAGCGCAGATGAAAGGTGCGATTGTCAGTTTCCTTTATGACTTGTGGGAATTTTTTGGGGCAACAAAATTCATCTGAACTTAGAGCCTCCATAGAGGCCTGCTTAGAACCAGAGACCCATATAGAACCAGAGACTCGAATAGAACCAGCCCCATATAGAACCAGAGACCCATATAGAACCAGAGACCCATATAGAACCAGAGACCCATATAGAACCAGAGACCCGTATAGAACCAGAGACTCGAATAGAACCAGACCCATATAGAACCAGAGACCCATATAGAACCAGACTCGAATAGAACCAGACCCATATAGCACCAGACCCATATAGAACCAGACCCATATAGAACCAGAGACCCAGAGACTCGTATAGAACCAGAAACCCAGATAGAACCAGAGGCCCACACAGACACAGAGACTAACTTAGAACCAGAGACCGACAGAAACTCCTATAGAACCAGAGACCCACAGAGACACATTTAGGACCAGAGGCCCATATATATCCAGAGACCCATATAGAACCAGAGACCCAGATAGAACCAGAGACCCAGAGACTCAGAGACTTGTATAGAACCAGAGGCCCATATAGATACAGAGACCCAGATAAAACCAGAGACCCCGAGACACAGAGACTAACTTAGAACCAGAGACCGACAGAAACTCCTATAAAACCAGAGACCCACAGAGACCCACAGAGACCACATAGAGACCGAGCAGCAGCAGAAGGCATCATAATCTTTATTGAGACTGCAGGCAGAAGAAATCCGAAGACCTATCAAGCTCTTTTGCATCACACATTTCAAGTAAGGGGGTCACGCACGGCGGGGGTGTTCAGAACGTGACTCAAACATCGACGCATCAACAAAGCGTCGCGCTAACGAACTACAACTTCAACAACAACCGCCGTTCACCACTCGGTGGCGGTGACGGCACCACGGCGCTCGTGCCAGGCTAGGTGCACATTAGAAGCACTCGCGTGAAGTGGCAGGTCACGGGACAGACCCTGCAGGTGCCCATTGGTTGACTGCTGCTGTGCCAGGCTAGGTGCATGAGGTCACGGTATAGAACCAGCAGGTGCCATGGGCTGTACTGCTGCTGTGCCAGGCTAGGTGCAGGAGGAGGTCACGTGACAGACCCTGCAGGTGCCATGGGTTGACTGCAGCTGTGCCAGGCTAGGTGCATGAGGTCACGGGACAGACCCTGCAGGTGCCATGGGTTGACTGCTGTGCCAGGCTAGGTGCAGGAGGAGGTCACGTGACAGACCCTGCAGGTGCCATGGGTTGACTGCTGCTGTGCCAGGCTAGGTGCAGGAGGTCACGTGACAAACCCTGCAGGTGCCATGGGTTGACTGCTGCTGTGCCAGGCTAGGTGCAGGAAGAGGTCACGGTATAGATCCAGCAGGTGCCATGGGCTGTACTGCTGCTGTGCCAGGCTAGGTACAGGAGGAGGTCACGTGACAGACCCAGCAGGTGGCATGGGTTGACTGCAGCTGCTGTGCCAGGCTAGGTGCAGGAGGAGGTCACGTGACAGACCCTGCAGGTGCCATGGCTTGTACTGCTGCTGTGCCAGGCTAGGTGCACTCAGCTGTGCCAGGCTAGGTGCAGGAGGAGGTCACGTGACAGACCCTGCAGGTGCCATGGGTTGACTGCAGCTGTGCCAGGCTAGGTGCAGGAGGTCACGTGACAGACCCTGCAGGTGCCATGGGTTGACTGCAGCTGTGCCAGGCTAGGTGCAGGAGGTCACGTGACAGACCCAGCAGGTGCCATGGGTTGACTGCTGCTGTGCCAGGCTAGGTGCAGGAGGTCACGTGACAGACCCTGCAGGTGCCATGGGTTGACCGACTGAGATGACCAGCAGACGGCAATTGCCCCCAACAAAGACAAAGATCCCCCAAGTAGCCTGAACAGGCTGTAGGGGCAAGTGCTGTTAGTGGCGAGTAGCAGCAGCAGCGCCTATGAAGGCTACCGGCACTGTGGCTACACACACAGAGGGGGTGGGTGGCCAGCACCACGCCCGGCCGCCTTTGTCTCTCCCCCAGTGCTAGCGATGTTTACTACACGCCATGGCACCGGGTACTCATTTGAGGCCGAGTCGACCTAGGGGAGGCCCCAGGTACCGGTTCAGATAATCGCTGTCACCGGTGTTTGTGGCCGTGAGCGGGAATCGAACCTCGGGCCTCTGCAGGGTTTGTAGCGCAGCGCTAACCGGAGCGCCACCCCTCCCCACACAGATACACGCCACATACACACACACGTGCACACCCACACCACATACATACGTACGTGCACACCATATCAACAACAACCGCTATTCTCCACTAAGTGGCGGTGACGTCACCACGACGCCTGTGCCAGGCCATGTGCACCTTGAGGCTACCACGTGAAGTGTCGAACGCCCGCTGGCAGGTCACGGGGCAGACTCAGCAGGTGCCACGGGTCGACTGACTGAGATGACTGCTGTGCTTTAGCTACGCACGCACACACGCACACACGCCCGCCCCCATGCATGCCCGCCCCCACGCACGCACCCATCCGCATGTACACAGCCGCACACATTCTCACACATGTCCAGATGCTCACACACCCACGCACCCGCACGCCCACACACTCACATACTCGCACGCTCACACACACACTCACATGCTCACACGCACTCACGCGTACACGCACATACACACACCCACGCACTCCCACACGCTCACACGCTCACACACGCTCACACACGCTCACACGCACTCACACGTACACACCCACACGCCCACACTCCCACACACTCACATACTCGCCCGCTCACACACACTCGCACGCTCACACGCACTCACGTGTACACACCCACGCACATACACACACACGCACCCCCGCACTCCCACACACTCACACGCACTCACATGCCCCCACGCCCCCACGCACGCACATGCTCACACACACTCACGCGTACACACCCACGTACACTCCCACACACTCACACGCACTCACATGCCCCCACGCCCCCACGCACCCGCACGCACCCATCCGCATGTACACGGCCGCACCCATTCTCACGCATGTCCAGATGCTCACACACCCACACACCCGCACGCCCACACACACTCACATGCTCACACGCACTCACGCGTACACCCGCACGCCCGCACTCCCACACACTGACATACTCGCACGCCCGCACACTCACATGCTCACACGCACTCACATGCTCACACGCACTCACGCGTACACATCCACGCACATACACACACGCACACCCGCACTCCCACACACTCACATGCTCACACGCACTCACGTGTACACATCCACGCACATACACACACGCACACCCGCACTCCCACACACTCACATGCTCACACGCACTCACGTGTACACATCCACGCACATACACACACGCACACCCGCACTCCCACACACTCACATGCTCACACGCACTCACGTGTACACATCCACGCACATACACACACGCACACCCGCACTCCCACACACTCACACGCACTCACATGCCCCCACGCACGCACCCGCACGTATCCATCCGCATGTACTCACGCACTCACGCATACACACTCACACACACCCAAGCACATACACACTCACACACACACTCACATGCTCACATGCTCACACGCACTCACGCGTACCCACGCACATACACACTCACACACACACGGACGCTCAGGTAGATTCCTCGACTCCACCGATGATGATCTCCCCCCTACCCCCGGCTTGCGCGTCTTCCCCCTCAGTATCCAAACAGCTTCAGCGGCAGCTTGAGGAGTCTGCAAGAGAAGACGCCGGGAGGTTTGGGAGTCAGCGTCTGATGCAGATCGGGATGCGCTAGCAGCAAGCAGCAGCATGAAAAGACCGACACAAACTTAGAAACAGCAGCGTCAACATCGTCGTGATGATGACGATTGTCTCCACTCGTAGCGCTGCATAGCTCAGCTTAGTTTGGTCTGTGGGTCTCTCTGTGTCTCTGTATATCTGTGCGTCTCTGTGTGTCTCTGTGTATATCTGTGGGTCTCTGTGTGTGTCTGTGTATATCTGTGGGTATCTGTGTGTGTCTGTGTATATCTGTGGGTCTCTCTGTGTCTCTGTGTATATCTGTGGGTCTCTCTGTGTCTCTGTGTATATCTGTGGGTCTATGTGTATATCTGTGGGTCTCTGTGTATATCTGTGGGTCTCTGTAGGTCTATCTATATGGGTCTCTATCTATATGGGTATCTGGGTCTCTATATGGGGATCTGGGTCTCTCTATGAGTCTCCTATACATGTGTGTAGTGCGGTGAAATACGCGGTGCGTACGCACAGTCGACCGAGAGCATTTGAGGGCAAAGCAGGTGCACGCGCGCAACATGGAGTTGAGCGTGCAACATGGAGTTCATCTTCTTGGTTCTTTCGGTAAAGTCACGTAAAATGGAAATAATAAAATAATAAAAATAAAACATAATAAAATAATTCTCACGACGTTTCGGCCACAACGCAAGCAGCCGTCCTCAGGTGAAGAACAGGTCTGTCGGAAAGACAGCGTCTGAATGCTGACAGACCTGTTCTTCACCTGAGGACGGCTGCTTGCGTTGTGGCCGAAACGTCGTGAGAATTATTAAATGTTTTATTATTTTATTATTATTTCCCTTCTACGTGACGACTTTACCGAAAGAACCAAGAAGATGAATCCCTGCAGTCACGAAAGCTTTAAATCGAAATTCAACATGGAGTTGCGTGAGCAAACCGGCACCTAATTAACGAGAGAAGCAGGGTGCAATCGAGGTCGAGCGGGTACATGGAATGCGACCAGAGGTTGCTGCCAAAGAGGTTGATTGATGGGCCAACCGAAGCACTCGAGGCCTCGGGATGGGCGGGGAGATGCAAGCTGGGGCGTGCGCGAGCTCAGGGTTAGTCGCTGAGTGAAGACATCTTGCCGTGGTCGCTCCAGGGCAGAGGTCGCAACCGGGTACCCGATACCCGTACCCTACCCGTACCCGGCCGGGTACGGGTACCCGGCCGGGTACGGGTAGCCGTTTGCGACCCTGGTGCGGCCGGGTACGGGTAGGCCGTGAGTCACTGGTGAGTCACCGTTTGTCGCTCATTTCCCAACGTCTTGTCTCTTCTCACAATTCAAGTTCCTAGAATCAACCCACCCGCGCCTGCAACATGGCTTCATCCCAGAGGTCGCAATCGGGTACCCGATACCCGTACCCTACCCGTACCCGGCCGGGTACGGGTAGGGTACGGGTACGGCCGGGTACGGGTACAGGTAGGCCGTGAGTCACTGGTGAGTAACCGTTTGTCACTCATTTCGGGTAGGGAACAGGTACCCGTACCCGGCCGGGTACGGGTACCTGTTTGCGACCCTGGTGCGGCCGGGTACGGGTAAGGAGTCAAAACCCGTTTGTGACCTCTGCTCCAGGGACAGGGGTGGAGATGTATAATTGCTGTGTGCGAAGCGTCTGTGTGAGAAGAAGCTGATAGCTGAGCTGCTATGTGCAGGTTAGGTGAGGTGTAACGTAGATAAGAATGGGGAACAGGTTAGCAGGAAAAGTGACCGTTTAGATAGCGATAGGTGTGCCTACAACTGGTGCATATTCTTGGTGTTTTCGGTAAGCAATAAAATTCTCACGACGTTTCGATTGCAGCACAAGCAATCAGCATCACACCCGATCACACCTGATGATGATTGCTTGTGTTGCAATCGAAACATCGTGAGAATTGTATTGTTTTATTATTTCCCTTCTACGTGATGACTTTACCGAAAGAACCAAGAATATGAATCCCTGCAGTCGCGAAAGCTTCAAATCGAAAAAAGTGTACGCAGGCGACTTGTTACAACGTGTCAGAGTGATTAACAAGACACTACACACACACACGTACAGTATTTGGCTGCTGCTATGTCCACACCATGACATCAGCCACTACTAAAACTAAACTTTGTTTTACACTGGTAGGAACCTCCTGGTTACACCAGCCCACAGGGGATTATTGTGTCCGTCCGTCGTGCATCCAAAATGTGAGGGGTGGGGCTGGGTGGAGAGGGGAGGGTGGGGAGGGGCTGGGTGGAGAGGGGAGGGTGGGGAGGGGCTGGGTGGAGAGGGGAGGGTGGGGCTGGGTGGGGAGGGTGGGGAGGGGCTGGGTGGGGAGGTTGGGGAGGGTGGGGCTGGGTTAGGAGGGGAGGGTGGGGAGCGGCTGGGTGGTTAGGGTGGGGAGGGGCTGAGTGGGGAGGGGCTGGGTGGGGAGGGGCTGGGTGGGGAGGGGCTGGGTGGGGAGGGGCTGAGTGGGGAGGGGCTGGGTGGTTAGGGTGGGGAGGGGCTGGGTGGGGAGGGGCTGAGTGGGGAGGGGCTGGGTGGGGAGGGTGGGGAGGGGCTGGGTGGGGGGTGGGAGGAGTGGGGCTGGGTGGGGAGGGGCTGGTCACCCCGTGGTGCCCTTATAAAACTCAACGTTTAACCTACTCACGCCGGCTTGTGCCCGCCCTCACAGTCGGCAATATTTGCGGAATACACCACGCCCTGGCCATTGACCCTGCAGGCCATTGACCGAGCAACCCAACGTTCCTACCAGCTCCCTCAGCAGTAGGAATGTGTTATTTGTACCAGGTGTAAAGCCTCACTGAGTAGCTGTGTAGGTCTTTATCAGAAGTAGCCACCTGGCCATCAACACTCAATGTTCGCAGCTCAATCGAGTGGCTGATATCATCATCATCACGTGGACATTCATAGCAGTAACCAAATACTTTGAACGCGTAGAGGTACCTAGAGACCCATAAGAGACACGTAGAGATACTGTACATAGAGTTGGCATGGAGATACATAGAGACCCACAGAGATACCTAGATAATCGTTGGGAGACCGAGAATCATGAAGATACATACAGACCCATAGAGACCCACAGAAATGCAGAGACACAGAGACCCAGATAGACCCATAGACTAAAGTAAACTACCTGATGACGTGAGCTTGTGTTGCGTCCGAAACGTCGTGATTTATTTTGTTTAATTTTCTACCTACATGACTTTACCGAAAGAACCAAAGAGTGTGGATTCCTTCAGTCACGAAAGCTTCAAATCTAGATACAAACGAGATGCCCGGATGATAGGCACAGCAAACTCGTACACCAAGCTCTCAAGGCAAATGGATATTCCGATTCTTAAGTTTTTTCGGTAAAGTCACGTAGGTAAAAAATTTATAAAAGTACGATTGCTGTATCACTTGATACAGCAATCGTGCTGTGACGGTTCCACCTGAAGACGGATGACTTGTGTTGCCTCCGAAACGTCGTGATTTTTATTTTATTTTACTTTTATTAATTTTATTAATTTAAATTTTTTACCTACGTGACTTTACCGAAAAAACCTAAGAATATGAATCCTTGCAGTCACGAAAGCTTCAAATCTAGAATGGATATTCTGACTACACAATCTGCAAAGCCATCACTCCAAACGAAGGAGCCATCTGAGGATCCACCATCATCATCACCATCATCAGCACCATCATCATCAGCACCATCACCAGCACCGTCATCACCATCACCAGCATCATCATCACCATCATCAGCACCATCACCAGCACCGTCATCACCATCACCACCATCACCAGCACCGTCATTACCAGCACCGTCATCACCAGCACCACCACCATCATCACCGTCACCACCACCATCATCACCATCACCGTCACCACCACCGTCACCACCACCATCATCACCATCATCATCATCACCATCATCATCATCACCACCATCACCAGCACCGTCATTACCAGCACCATCATCACCAGCACCATCATCACCACCACCATCACCATCATCACCACCACCATCACCAGCAGCACCACCATCATTATTGTTGATATAATCATCACCAGCACTATCACCAGCATCATCATCACCATCATCATCACCATCATCAGCACCATCACCAGCACCGTCATCACCAGCATCATCATCACCACCACCATCACCAGCACCGTCATCACCAGCACCACCACCATCATTGTTATCACCATCACCACGACCATGATCACCACCATCATTGTTGTTATCATCATCACCATAATCCTTACCCAAAAATGGCTCTGGCCCATCTTCCTAGCTGGCTTACGGCTTTAAGATCATCACCACCATCACCACCATCACCACCATCACCACCATCAGCACCATCCTTGGCTGGTTCCGTGACAATCTCGGAGCGTGCGTGCCATCCGTCCCTGTCACTGCGTTGAGTGGAGATTGCAGCAGCAGCAGCAGCAGCAGTGGCCTCGCCATCTGCTAACACAGATAGCCATGAACATGTTTTTTGATTCATAGACGTTCCAGTCGGGGTGGGGTCAGAGAGTTCAGAATATTTATCCACTTACCCACTCAACTCACCCACACACTCATTCACTCAGCTACCCACCCAACTCAGCCACCTCTCACACCCACACACTCACCCACACACTCACCCACACACTCACCCACACACTCACCCACACACTTACCCACTCACTCACACACTCACCCACACACTTACTCACCCACACACTTACTCACCCACTCACTCAGCCACCTCTCACACTCACCCAGCCGCACACTCACTCACACACTCACCCACTCAACTCACCCACACACTTACTCACCCACACACTCACCCACTCACTCAGCCACCTCTCACACTCACCCAGCCGCAACACTCACTCACACACTCACCCACACACTCACACACTCACCCAGACACTCACCCACACACTCATTCACTCAGCCACCTCTCACACCGACCCAGCCGCAACACTCACTCACACACTCACCCACTCAACTCACCCACACACTCACCCACACACTTACTCACCCACTCACTCAGCCACCTCTCACACTCATCCAGACACTCACCCACACACTCATTCACTCAGCCACCCACTCACTCAGCCACCTCTCACACTGACCCAGCCGCAACACTCACTCACTCACTCACCCACTCAACTCACCCATACACTCACCCACACACTCATCCAGACACTCACCCACACACTCATTCACTCAGCCACCCACTCACTCAGCCACCTCTCACACTGACCCAGCCGCAACACTCACTCACACACTCACCCACTCAACTCACCCACACACTCACACACACACACTTACTCACCCACTCAGCCACCTCTCACACTCACCCAGCCGCACACTCACTCGGCCGCACACTCACCCATACACTCACCCACACACTCACCCACACACTTAACCACCCACTCACTCAGCCACCTCTCACACTCACTGAGCCGCACACCTGCGATTAGCACGGATGGCTCTGTACGGTGCCAAATAAGTTCAACATACACAATCTACTATACACTACTATGCACTACACACTACAATGCACTACACTACTGTAGTAGGCTCAATGAGACGTGGACTAAGTAGTTGGAGGCACACTTATTTATTATAATGTTTCACTCAGCACAGGCCGATGTATACAACACTCGAAGGGGTAACGGCCCCTTCACCCGTCTAACAGGGAGATCCACTGTCTCTAACCCAGCTAGCCTACTCCCAGGTCCTCCACTACAGAGCTCGGGGAGGCTAGCTGATCCAGCTCTGGCCAAGCTGGGATCACGGCACCCTGAGTCACCAGACCGGCCCCTTCACCCGTCTAACAGGGAGACCCCAGTGACTCTAACCCAGCTAGCCTACTCCCAGGTCCTCCACTACAGAGCTAGGGGAGGCTCGCTGACCCAGCTCTGGCCAAGCTGGGATCACGGCACCCTGAGTCACCAGACCGGCCCCTTCACCCGTCTAACAGGGAGATCACACTGACTCTAACCCGGCTGGCCTACTCCCAGGTCCTCCACTACGGAGCTAGGGGAGGCTAGCTGACCCAGCTCTGGCCAAGCTGGGATCACGGCACCCTGAGTCACCAGACCGGCCCCTTCACCCGTCTAACAGGGAGACCCCAGTGACTCTAACCCGGCTAGCCTACTCCCAGGTCCTCCACTACAGAGCTAGGGGATGCTAGCTGATCCAGCTCTGGCCAAGCTGGGATCACGGCACTCTGAGTCACCAGACCGGCTCTTACAAGAGCATCGGCTCTGGGCTCTTGGGGCCACGCCACTGGCTTGCCCTGGTCGCTCCTTAGAAGGACAGCGATCCAGGGGAGTCCCAGGGCCTATCTAGCCGGTCTTCACTCTTCACTGGTTTAAGCTATCTTAGATTTAAAGCTTTCGTGACTGCAGGGATTCATCTTCTTGGTTCTTTCGGTAAAGTCATCACGTAGAAGGGAAATAATAAAATAATAAACATAAAACTATTTCCCTTCTACGTGACTTTACCGAAAGAACCAAGAATACATACTGTTTAATATTTAATTAATATTTAATTGCATTATTTAATATCAATTAAATATCAATTAAATATTAAATATATTATTAAATAAGTTATTCATATTAAATAAATATTATTAAATTTATTCTCTTTCTACGTGATGACTTTACCGAAAGAACCAAGAAGATGAATCCCTGCAGTCACGAAAGTTTTAAATCGAAAAATGGTTTAAGCTAAACACTGAACACCGAGCCCACCGGCTCACCGCCTTGTATAGCAACTCCCCCCCCGATGGGTGGGGCCGTGGGGGATCACAGCACCCTTACAGCCCCCCAGGGCTAACCGATGCGGACGTGGATGTAGGCATCCTTCCGCGTGCGGGCACAACCACCCCTGGTGTGTTTGTTTGCCCTCCCGTAACACCCCTACACTACTATGCACTACACTACTATACACTACACCGTACCTACTGACGCTCACTCACCGTGTGCGAATGTCTCCTGTCCACTCCTCCTCGTGCTCCCTGTGGAGTGGAGTTCCGAGGCTCGTGATGAGTCACTCCCCTGCTGAGGAAGGGGGGGAACGGACGCAGTGATGGAATATTCAGGATCAGTGTGTAGACTGCGAGGTGGAGGAATCCAGAGAGCTATAAAGCTCTTTGTTCACAGATGGGCCGGTAGGGGTCACGGGGTGAGAACGTTACGTACGTGGCTAATCAGAGGTGTGTGGGTCAGTGGGTGGGTGAGTGGGTGAATGGGTTGGTGAATGGGTTGGTGGGTGAATGGGTGGGTGGGTGAATGAGTGGGTGGGTGGATAAGTGGGTGAATGGGTGGGTGAATAAGTGGGTGGATGCGTGGGTGGGTGAATGAGTGGGTGAATAAGTGGGTGGGTGGGTGGGTGAATGAATGAGTGGGTGGGTGAATGGGTGGGTGGGTGAGTGGGTGAATGAGTGGGTGGGTGGGTGAATGGGTGGGTGGGTGAATGAGTGGGTGGGTGGGTGAATTGGTGGGTGGATGAGTGGGTGGGTGAATGAGTGGGTGGGTGGGTGAATTGGTGGGTGGGTGGATGAGTGGGTGGGTGAGTGAATGAGTGGGTGGGTGGGTGAATGAGTGGGTGGGGGAATGAGTGGGTGGGTGAATGGGTTGGTGGGTGAATAAGTGGGTGAATGGGTGAATGGGTGGGTGAATGGGTGGGTGGGTGAATGGGTGGGTGAATGGGTGGGTGTGTGAATAACTGAATGGGTGGGTTGGTGTACGTTGCCAATCGCGCCAAATCAGAGGTGCGAGGGGGAAGGACAAGAAACTACAACAACAACAAGCGGCAGTTCTAAAGAAACGAGTTTCAATCTCGATTGAAAAGTGCACATCACACTTTATGCGGCTGGACGGGCGTGGTGCTGGCCACTCACCCCCTCTGTGTGTGTGTGCCACAAGTGGTGGTAGCCTTCATAGGCGCGGCTATTCACTAACAGCCCTTTCCCCTGCAGTCTGTTGGAGTCTTTACATGGGAGATCTTTGTATTTTTTGTATGTGTGCATCTGTGTGTATGTGTGCGTATCTCTCTGTATCTGTATGTATGTGTATCTGTATTTATGTGTTTGTATCTCTGTATGTGTATATGTATTTGTGTATGTATCTCTGTGTCTCTCTCTGTATCTGTCCATCTCTGTATGTACCTCTCTGTATCTCCGTGTGTATCTGTGTATTTGTATGTATCTCTGTGTATTTGTATGTATCTCTGTGTATGTGTCTTTGTATGGGCGGTGGCCATTCCGCCCCTGGTGCTGTAACTCGCTACTCAGTAACAGCCTGTTAAGAGGCTTGCATGAGATGGGGGGGGATGTTTGTCCTTTGTTAACACAGCGTGAAGGGGAAATCCTGGTGGGGCTAGTCACAAGTTTGGTTTCACTACCGACAACACACACCATTGTGTGGTGTGTGGGGAACTTCAGAAATGGATGCCTCTTGTTTGTAAGAGAGAGCGGTAGTGTAGACATATGCTGCCTTATAAAGGGCAGCGTACTTCAATAGGGATTACCGTTTGTACGGCTATATTAATACACACAATAAACAGGAAGGACAACATCAAAGGGCTCGCATGATGCACACGCATAATGTACGTCGACTCAGTAATCTCCCCGCCCTCCACTTTGCTCAAGAGCGTAGAATCGTGGTCACCATATCTACGCCTCGATAAAAGGAACGAAACAGCAAGAGACTTCTCCACAAATCTGGCTGTCGCCTGATGAAGCTGGTTGTAAATACTGGCGAAACGTCGTGCTCAGATTGTAAACGTTGTGGCTTTGCTCTCCAACATACTGGTGTGCTGTACTAGTATACTACACTATACACTACACTATACACTACTATACACTACACTATACACTACTATACACTACACTATACACTACTATACACTACACTACTATACACTGCACTATACATTACACAATACACTACACTATACCCTACACTACTATACACTACACTATACACTACACCACACTACACTATACACTACTAAACACTACACTATACACTACACTACTATACACTACACTATACACTACTAAACACTACACTATACACTACACTATACACTACACACTAGTGCTGTACTAGTGACGAATTGGCACGTTCTGTTCATGTGACAACCCTTACTAGTTGGCTGTGTCTAGTGGTGACGGGTTTTGTTTCCTGACCTGGCGGTTTTCACTGCCACCACCGCCACCACCGCCACTATCACCACCACCTTCAACGCTGCCTTAACATCTCCTAGCCACCATGGCACCCATCATCATCATCATCATTGCTCCTCCGTTTGAATTCACGTTGCTTATCACTTTCACGTGGCTGATGGTGAAGGTTGTACCAACCGTTAAAGCTCTGCGATTGTCATCATCTTCGTCATCATGTTCATCACTCCTCCTTCGTTTCAATTCACGTTGCATCTCCTCGTCATCCTCGTCATCCTCCTCCTCATCATCAGACTCCTCTTCAAGACAGTCCGTCTCCTGAAGCAAAGCGCAGAACGAACTTGATAAATTCTCGACGTACGTGTGTGTGTGTGTTGAACATCTTTGGTGCATGTTCGTAGCCAACCGTGCTAACCGCAGGTGTGTGGATGAGTGTGTGGGTGAGTGGGTGAGTGACTAGGTGAATGGATGGGTGGGTGAGTGTGTGAGTAGGTGGGTGAGTGGCTGAGTGACTAGGTGAATGGGTGGGTGAGTGTGTGAGTAGGTGGGTGAGTGAGTAGGTGGGTGAGTGAGTAGGTGGATGAATGGGTGGGTGAGTGGGTGAGTGTGTGGGTGAGTGGCTGAGTAGGTGGGTGAATGGGTGGGTGAGTGTGTGAGTAGGTGGGTGAGTGTGTGAGTAGGTGGGTGAGTGGGTGAGTGAGTAGGTGGATGGATGGGTGGGTGAGTGTGTGAGTAGGTGGGTGAGTGTGTGAGTAGGTGGGTGAGTGGGTGAGTGAGTAGGTGGATGGATGGGTGGGTGAGTGTGTGAGTAGGTGGGTGAGTGGGTGAGTGAGTAGGTGGATGAATGGGTGGGTGAGTGTGTGAGTAGGTGAGTGAGTGTGTGGGTGAGTGAGTGGCTAAGTGACTAGGTGGATGAATGGGTGGGTGAGTGTGTGAGTAGGTGGGTGAGTGGGTAGGTGGGTGAGTGGGTGAGTAGGTGTGTGGGTGAGTGAGTGGGTGGTTAAGTGGGTGGATATGTCTTGAACTTATTTGGCACCGTACATAAGCCAACCGCAGAAATTTGAGGTGTGGGGGAAGGACAACAAGCTAAATACAAAGCAGTTCTAAATAGAAGGGAAGTAATAAAATAATAAAAATAAAACATAATAAAATAATTCTCACGACGTTTCGGCCACAACGCAAGCAGCCGTCCTCAGGTGAAGAACAGGTCTGTCGGAAAGACAGCGTCTGAATGAAACACCACCAGGCTTGGAGCGAGTCATTCAGACGCTGTCTTCTCGACAGACCTGTTTCTCCACCTGAGGACGGCTGCTTGCGTTGTGGCCGAAACGTCGTGATAATTGTATTTTATTGTTTTATTTTTATAATTTTATTATGTTTTATAATTTTATTATGTTTTCTTTTTATAATTTTATTATGTTTTATTATTTTAGTATGTTTTATTATTTTATGTTGTATTTTTATTCTTTTATTATTTTTATTATTTCCCTTCTACGTATTTTATAACAAAATTGTATTTTATTATGTTTTATTTTTATTATTTTATTATTTCCCTTCGACGTGACGACTTTACCGAAAGAACCAAGAAGATGAATCCCTGCAGTCACGAAAGCTTTAAATCGAAATCAGTTCTAAAGAAATTAGTTGTAAATTTAGTATAGTGGTGTAGTGTATAGCAGTTTAGTGTATAAATACTACACACTGCACTGCACTACACCACTATACACGATACGCAACATCGCACACACACACTACACACACGTCTGCATTAACCACACATTGTGGTATAAAATGCCCCCCCCCCCCACGATAATGTGTAACAGCTCCAACCCCGAGCTATGTCATGCTGCCTTTGATGTTTGCGCTGGTTAAAAATTATTTTAAAAAATTACCGATCTGTCAATTTGGCAATTCCAATTCGAAAAGGCGGAGATGGACGAGAAAGCGTGGGAGGGTAAGCCAAGACCACACCAACTACAACCGCCATTCGCCACCAAGTGGCGGTGACATCACCACGGCGCCTGTGCCAGGCTAGGTGCACGTTAAGGCCATGTGAAGTGTCGAACGCCCGCTGGCACGAGATCACGGGACAGACCCTACAAGTGCCCATAGGTTGTGCCAGGCTAGGTGCACGAGGAGGTCACGGGACAGACCCTGCAGGTGCCATGGGTCAACTAAGATGCATCACCTGTGCTCCTTGCTGTGCCAACTTTGCTGTTTTTAAAGCCACCCGGCGCCCCGCTCGTTGTCACGAGGGAAGTCACAAAAAACAAAGATCCCCCGTATAGCCTTAACAGACTGTCGTGGCAAGTGCTGTTAATGAGTTGCAGCGCCTATGATGGCTGGCAATGCGGCACACGAGGTCGCAACCGGGTACCCGATACCCGTACCCTACCCGATACCCGGCTACCCGAACCCGGCCGGGTACAGGTACCCGTTTGCGACCCTGGTGCGGCCGGGTACGGGTACGGGTAGGCCGTGAGTCACTGGTGAGTAACCGTTTGTCACTCATTTCCCAACGTCTTGTCTCTTCTCACAATTCAAGTTGCTAGAATCAACCCACCCGCGCCTGCAACGTGGCTTCATCCCAGAGGTCACAATCGGGTACCCGATACCCGTACCCTACCCGTACCCGGCCGGGTACGGGTACGGCCGGGTACGGGTACGGGTACCCGTTTGCGACCCTGGTGCGGCCGGGTACGGGTAAGGAATCAAAACCCGTTTGTGACCTCTGGTGGCCAGCACTAAGCCCGACCGCCTTTGTCTCTCCAGTGGCGATGTTTTCTACACTACACCACTGCACCAGGTACTCGTTTGAGGCTGAGTCGACCTGCGGGGAGGCCCAGGAACCAGTTCGGATAATCGCTATCACTGGTGTTGGTGGCCTTGTGCGGGAATTGAACTCGGGGTCGCCAGGATCGTAGCATTAACCACGACACCACCGCTCCCTACACACTCACACACACATCTCACTCACTCACACTCACATCTCACTCACTCACACTCACACACACAGCTCACTCACTCACACTCACACACACAGCTCGCTCACACACACACATCTCACTCACTCACACACACACCTCACTCACTCACACACACAGCTCACTCACACTCACACACACATCTCACTCACTCACACTCACAGCTCACTCACACTCACACACATCTCACTCACTCACACACACAGCTCACTCACACACACAGCTCACTCACTCACACTCACAGCTCACTCACACTCACACACACAACTCACTAACTCACACACTCACTCACTCACACACACAGCTCACTCACTCACACTCACATCTCACTCACTCACACTCACATCGTCGGTGACTGCGGATGCGAGATTTCCTGAGCCCGTTCCGTTCTCTGGAGAAGAAAGTTACCAATGGAAAAAAAAAAATCACAATCCAGTTTGGTGGTCGTACTGCAGTTGGTGTGAGCACGGAACCGAGATACATGGCGTCATCTGGTCCAACACCATGTGAGACCAGGCTCTAAGGAAAGCTGTCTCGGGTGTGGACCAATCAACTTCAAGGACCATGTGAGACTAGGCTCTAAGGAAAGCTGTCTCGGGTGTGGACCAATCAACTTCAAGGACCATGTGAGACTAGGCTCTAAGGAAAGCTGTCTCGGGTGTGGACCAATCAACTTCAAGGACCATGTGAGACTAGGCTCTAAGGAAAGCTGTCTCGGGTGTGGACCAATCAACTTCAAGGACAGTGCATATATTATCAGAGTTATGTTTTATGTTTGCATTATGACCGCAGGTATTGTGGTCTATGTAAACATGACTCCTTGTAAAAAAGTTGTCAGTTTTGTTGCCAGATAGAAGGGTAAAAAAACAATTATCATATTTTTACTGGCAAATGAGGTTCCAATGGTGTAAATGCTTCACCCCGAGCTCTCATACTCTGATGGTGCATTGTGTTTGAGTTGTGCGCCTTTTGGCGTCATCTGGTCCAACACCACGTGAGACTAGGCTCTAAGGAAAGCTGTCTCGGGTGTGGACCAATCAACTTCAAGGACAGTGCATACATTATCAGAGTTATGTTTTTTGTTTGCATTACGACTGCAGGTATTGTGGTCTATGTAAACATGACTCCTCGTAAAAAGGTGTCAGTTTTGTTGCCAGATAGAAGGGTAAAAAACCAATTATCATATTTTTACTGGCAAATGAGGTTCCAATGGTGTAAATGCTTCACCCCGAGCTCTCATACTCTGATGGTGCATTGTGTTTGAGTTGTGCGCCTTTTGGCGTCATCTGGTCCAACACCATGTGAGACTAGGCTCTAAGGAAAGCTGTCTCGGGTGTGGGCCAATCAACTTCAAGGACAGTGCATACATTATCAGAGTTATGTTTTTTGTTTGCATTATGACTGCAGGTATTGTGGTCTATGCAAACATAACTCCTTGTAAAAAGGTGTCAGTTTTGTTGCCAGATAGAAGGGTAAAAAAACAATTATATTTTTACTGGCAAATGAGGTTCCAATGGTGTAAATGCTTCACCCCGAGCTCTCATACTCTGATGGTGCATTGTGTTTGAGTTGTGCGCCTTTTGGCGTCATCTGGTCCAACACCATGTGAGACTAGGCTCTAAGGAAAGCTGTCTCGGGTGTGGACCAATCAACTTCAAGGACAGTGCATACATTATCAGAGTTATGTTTTATGTTTGCATTATGACTGCAGGTATTGTGGTCTATGTAAACATGACTCCTTGTAAAAAAGGTGTCAGTTTTGTTGCCAGATAGAAGGGTAAAAAACCAATTATCATATTTTTACTGGCAAATGAGGTTCCAATGGTGGAACAATAACTTAATTTACCGCAGAGACCATATACCCCATATGGAGACTCTTAGATACCCATATAGAGACCCATATAGATACAGAGAGATACATCGAGACTGATAGTGGTGGTGGTGATAGTGGAGGTGGTATTGATCGTGGTGGTAGTGAAAGTGGCAGTGATGATGGTCTTAGTGGTGGTGGTGATGGTAGTGATAGTGGTTATAGTGGTGATGGTAGTGCCAGTGATGGTAGTGCCAGTGATGGTGGCGCTAGTTGTGATAGTGGCGATAGTAGAAAGTGGTGATGATACCGATTGTGGTGATGGTAGTGATGGTGGTGATGGTAGTGATAGTAGTGATAGTAGTGATGGTGGTGATGGTAGTGATAGTGGTTATAGTGGTGGTGATGGTAGTGATGGTGGTGATGGTAGTGATGGTGGTGATAGTGGTGATGGTGGTGATGGTGGTGATGGTACCGATTGTGATGGTACTGATTGTGATGGTAGTGATAGTAGTGATGGTGATGGTAGTGATGGTGGTGATGGTAGTGATAGTGGTTATAATGGTGGTGATGGTAGTGATGGTGGTGATGGTAGTGATAGTGGTTATAATGGTAGTGATGGTGGTGATGGTAGTGATAGTAGTAATGGTGGTGATGGTGGTGATAGTAGTGATGGTGGTGATGGTAGTGATAGTGGTCATGGCAGTAATGGTGATGGTAGTGATGGTGGTGATGGTAGTGATAGTAGTGATGGTGGTGATGGTAGTGATAGTGGTTATAATGGTGGTGATGGTAGTGATGGTGGTGATGGTAGTGATAGTGGTTATAATGGTGGTGATGGTAGTGATGGTGGTGATGGTAGTGATAGTAGTAATGGTGGTGATGGTGGTGATAGTAGTGATGGTGGTGATGGTAGTGATAGTGGTCATGGCAGTAATGGTGATGGTAGTGATGGTAGTGATAGTAGTGATGGTGGTGATGGTGATGATGGTAGTAATGGTAGTGATGGTAGTAATGGTAGTGATGGTAGTAATGGTAGTGATGGTGATGGTAGTGATGGTAGTGATGGTGGTGATGGTGGTGATGGTACCGTGCACTCGGGAGCCATCCAGCGCCTCCACGTAGATGATGAACATGCAGGGGTGGGACTTGAGGTCGACGCCGCACTCACGAAATTTCATTGTCCCCGCGGCTTCCCACGTGTGCTTGTCTTTTACACACGCACGCAGTGGACGTGGTGGTGGCGGTGGTGGTGATGGTGGTGATGGTAGTGATGGTGGTGGTGATGGCGGTGATGGTGGTGGTGATGGTGGTGGTGATGATGATGGTGGCAGTGATGGTGGTGATGGTGACGGTGATGGTGGCGGTGGTGGCGGTGATGGTGGTGATGGTGGCAGTGATGGTGGCGGTGGTGGTGATGGTGGTGGTGATGATGGCGGTGATGGTGGTGATGGCGGTGATGGTGGTGATGGTGGTGATGGTGGCGGCAGTGATGGTGGCGGTGATGGTGGTGATGGTGGTGGTAGTGATGGTGGCGGCAGTGATGATGGTGATGGTGGTGATGGTGGTGGTGATGGTGGTGGTGATGGCGGCGGCAGTGATGGTGGTGATGGCGACGGTGATGGTGGCGGCGGTGATGGTGGTGATGGTGGCAGTGATGGTGGCAGTGATGGTGGCAGTGATGGTGGCGGTGGCGGCAGTGATGGTGGCAGTGATGGTGGCAGTGATGGTGGTGGTGATGGTGACGGTGGTGGTGGTGATGATGGTGGCAGAGATTGTGGCAGTGATGGTGGTGACGGTAGTGATGGTGGTAGTGGTGGTGACGGTGATGGTGGTGATGGCGGCAGTGATGGTGGTGATGGTGGTGGTGGTGACGGTGGTGGTGATGGTGGTGATGGTGGTGATGGTGGTGACGGTGGTGATGGCGGTGATGGTGGCGGTGATGATGGCGGTGATGGTGGCGGTGATGGCGGCGGTGATGGTGGTGATGGTGGTGACGGTGGTGATGGCGGTGATGGTGGTGGTGATGGTGGTGGTGATGGTGGTGATGGTGGTGATGGTGGGGGTGGTAGTGATGGTGGCGGTGATGGTGGTGGTGATGGCGGCGGTGATGGTGGTGATAGTGGCGGTGATGGTGGTGGTGATGGTGGCGGTGATGGTGGCGGTGATGGTGGTGGTGATGGTGGTGGTGATGGTGGCAGTGATGGTGGCGGTGATGGTGGTGGTGGTGATGGCGGCAGTGATGGCGGCGGTGACGGTGGTGATGGTTGCGGTGAAATCCGCCAGGTCAAGAAACACAACACGGTGGCTACATGTTGACTACCTTGCCTGGTACGCAGGAGGTCGTGGATTCAATCCTGGACCCTGCAAGATGTTAACTCCCTCGCCTAATATGAAGGTTGTGGGTTCGTTCCCGGACCCTGCGAGATGTTAACTACCTCACCTGATGTGCAAGAGGTCGTGGATTCAATCCCGGACCCTGCGAGATGTTAATTCCCTCGCCTGCTAGGCAGCAGGTCATGGGTTTGATCCCGTGACTCTGACGATGCCTGCAGTTTTTTTCCCCTCCACATTTTGAGAAAGCGACGCCACTACGCGTTTATTTGGCTGCTGCTGCTATGAATTTCCACGTTGAGTTATAATTTGTGATTAGCCAGGTGGTCGCTTCTGAAAAAGAGCTACACAACTCAGTGGGTCCTTACACCTGTGAAAATTCCGTCACAGTTCCTATGATTGCTTTTTCATGGCTTTATTTTGGTGATTTCGAAAACTGTATTGGTTTAGCCAGCCATGTTTATTTGTTTTAGTAAAGAGTTAGACTGATGGCCTTAATCTAAGTTGTCTTATGGTTATTGTTGTTGTTTGACTTGCATCCCACTGGGATTTTTGCACACAGCGTTGGTGTACGGTGATTTTTCTGTAATATTTTGCTGTCTTTTCTTGGATTTTCTGTTTGCACTTAGTCACATATTCACTTTAAGATGTTTTTTGTTCATGTTTTTGTTTTTTGTTTGTTGCGGTTGCACCCGATTCAAGAGCCGAATGACTCACAGGGCTATACCTAATACATGAACTTGGACCTGGTAAAATAATAATAGTTCAACAGCAGGTCTGCTTTTCGATTTAAAGCTTTCGTGACTGCAGGGATTCATCTTCTTGGTTCTTTCGGTAAAGTCATCACGTAGAATGGAAATAATAAAATAATAAAAATATCTCTGCATTTCCCATAAATATGCTAAATTCCTCTTGATATGCAAATTATTTTGTCAAGGCGCTCTTCCCCCCTCCATCCCAGCTTAAATAGTCGCTCCAAGCCTGGGGTGTATCATTCAGACTCTGTCATCTCGACAGACCTGTTCTCCACCTGAGGACGGCTGCTTGCGTTGTGGCCGAAACGTCGTGAGAAATATTTTATTATTTTATTATTTCCATTCTACGTGACGACTTTACCAAAAGAACCAAGAAGAAGGAGGTCTGCTATCCGGCATTTTACCGTCCTGAATGAACGGTACACATGTGTATGTATGTTGAACTCCTTTGGCACCAAATCGGAGGTGTGTGGGCCAGTTGTGTGGGTAAGTGTGTGAGTGAATGGGTGGTTGAGTGGGTGGTTGAGTGGGTGAATAGATGGAAGAGTGTGTGGGTGCCGGGAAAAGTCCTGGCAAGGATTATTCAACATCGCCTTGCTAGGCACGCTGAGGAGAGGCTTGCGAAGACTCAATGTGGTTTCAGGAAAGAGCGGTCCTGCACAGATGCCATATTTTCTGTCCGTCTGCTACAGCAGAGGTGTAGAGAATTCCAACAAGACCTACATCTCTCCTTTATTGACCTGGTCAAGGCCTATGATACCATCAATAGGCCTGGGCTGTGGGTTGATCTTCGTGTTTTCGGAGTCCCTGACCCTCTGCTCACGATCATTAAGGACCTTCATGATGGTGAGCGGGCCCGGGTAAAACTACGTGGCCGGGAGTCTGAGCCTTTCCCTGTACACCTTGGGGTGCGACAGGGATGTCCTCTGGCTCCCATATTATTTAACATCTATTTTGACCACGTAGTTCGCGAAGCCTTCAATAGCTGTACCGGAGGAATTTCCATTTGGTACAGATATAATGGGAGGCTGATTGATGCCCGGGTGCTGTCAAGGGATGGCTCCCTATTGCTCAACCACGTTATGTATGCCGATGATCTGGTGATTGCTGCTCACTCAGAGGAGGAGTTTGAGGCACTGCTGCTGAACCTGGAGCTCGCCTTACCATCAGCCCCACCAAAACTAAGCACCTGCCTGGGTATTTTGTACCATCGGACACTCCGCCCCCACAATCTCCAATTGGAGATAGGGCAGTTGTGGAGAAGTGTAGAGTTTCCCATACCTTGGCAGTGTGCTCATGACCGGCTCCGGTTTAGCAGCAGAGGTCTCACTCTGAATCAGTCGAGCAGCATTATCTTTTTATCGGTTGCGTAACGCTGTGTGGAAGCTACCTGGTCTGTCGCTCCGCACGAAGCTTCAGGTCTTCTCGGCCACGGTCATTCCCTCCCTTCTCTACGCTTGCGAAACGTGGACCCCCGTAATGGAACATCTTTGCCGGTTAGAAACATTTAGGCTGGCCTGCCTACGATCCATCCTGGGTTTAACCAGGCTGGATTGTGTGAGCTCACAAATCCTTGAAAGTGTATAGTTGTGTGGTATATGGTGTAGTGTATAGTAGTGTAGTTTATAGCAGTGTAGTGTATAGTGTACAGTAGTGTATAGTGTACGGTAAGATTTTGCTACAATCTCTTTACCCCCTCCCCCCTCTTCTCCCATGAATGAGGGAGACTCGTTGACAATTTATGTTCGCCGTGGGAGCCATCGACTCTCGTCAGAGGGATACACGGGAAGACGCTCAAACTGTCCGTGACGAAGGGCTTCAGATTGTCTTCGTTTGCCAGAACCACTCTGATCGCTACCTGCAGTCACAAACAACTCACACACAGAGACAGACACACAGAGACACAGACACAGAGACACACACACAGACACACACAGAGACACAGAGACACACACACAGAGACACAGAGACAGACACACACAGAGACCCACACAGAGATACACACAGAAACACACAGAGACACAGAGACAGACACACACAGAGATACACAGAGACACACACAGAGAAACACAGAGACACACAGAGACACACAGAGAGAAGTATACTAGATTTGTGTTTCTATTTCATTTATACCTGATGATGATTGCTTGTGTTGCAATCGGAACGTCGTGAGAATTTTATTATGTTTTATGTTTATTATTTTATTATTTCCCTTCTACCTGACTTTACCGAAAGAACCAAGAATATGAATCCCTGAAGTCACGAAAGCTTTCAATCAAAACAACAATAATCCGAGTTTCTGTGAACGCCCTGAAGGACCCACTCTCACCTCCAGTTCGTCCTGGATGTGCGGTTTGGCTTTGAGTGCAGCCCAGTGATCTCTGTTTTGGTCATGGGTTAAACACGCAACGCACACGCAACACACACACACACATTTACAATCGTCACTGCATAGATGTTTGTGGTTGTTCGAGTCTACTTGGTTGAGCTGATGTTAATGTGTGGTGATGACCAAGGTGGCTTGTGAAACAGGGCTATACAGAGTAGCTCAGTAAGATAAAAGTGCTTTAGTTTTAGTATGGATATCTACGTACCGATATGGGTCTCTATGTATGTCTGTACATTTAAAGTTATACTGGTAGGAACCTCCTGGTTACACCAGCCCACAGGGGATTATTGTGTCTGTCGTGCAGGGAGGGGCTGGGTGGGGAGGGACGGGCTGGGTGGGGAGGGGCTGGGTGGGGAGGGTGGGGAGGGGCTGGGTGGGGAGGGTGGGGAGGGGCTGGGTGGGGAGGGGAGGGTGGGGAGGGGCTGGGTGGGGAGGGGCTGGGTGTGGAGGGTGGGGCTGGGTGGGGGGTGGGAGGGGTGGGGCTGGGTGGGGAGGGGAGGGGCTGGTCACCCCGTGGTGCCCTTATAAAACTCAACGTTTAACCTACTCACGCCGGCTTGTGCCCGCCCTCACAGTCGGGCATATTTGCGGAATACACCACGCCGCCGTTGACCCTGCAGGCCATTGACCGAGCAACCCGACGTTCCTACCAGCTCCCTCCGCAGCAGGAATGTGTTTTGCTGCTGCTATAAATTGTCACGCGATGATGATGATAACATCAGCCACTTGGTTAAGCTGTTATCATTGCGTGTGATGACCGGGTTGCTTCTGATTCAGAGTTACATAGAGTAGCTCAGAAGTGCATTACACCTGGAAACAAAAACATAGTTTAGTTTATACTCTTCGGTTCTTTCGGTAAAGTCACGTAGGTAGGTGGGAAAATAAAATGAAAATAAAATTAAAATTTGAAATAATTTTTTTTTTCATCTACGTGACTTTACCGAAAGAACCAAAGAGTTTAGCTCCTTGCAGTCCTGTGTTCATACGTTGACTCTGTTGTGTTTGAGGAGGCCGTTAAGTTACATTGTATTTGTTTTAACTTGGCTGTTTCAGGACAAATGTGAAAAATAATGTAAACAAACATTAACACGTATAATAAAGAGTATATTCTTCCTTTTTTTTCGTGGTTCTTTCGGTAAAGTCATCACGTAGAAGGGAAATAATAAAATAATAAAAATAAAACATTATAAAATATTCCTCACGACGTTTCGGCCACAACGCAAGCAGCCGTCCTCAGGGGAAGAACAGGTATGTCGGAAAGACAGTGTCTGAATGAGCACCACCAAGCTTGGCAGCGTATATTTAAGCTGGGTTAGAGGGAGAAGAGTGCCTTGACAAAGGAATTTGCATATCAAGAGGAATTAGCATATTTATGGGAAATGCAGATATGGGATTAGTCACTACTTGTGTTCTTCACCTGAGGACGGCTGTTTGCGTTGTGGCCGAAACGTCGTGAGAATTGTATTATTTTACGATGTTTCAGTTTCATTATTTTATTATTTATGTTATTATTAAATAATAAAAATAAAACATATAAAAAACAATTGTATTTTATTATGTTTTATTATTTTATTATTTCCCTTCTACGTGATAACTTTACCGAAAGAACCAAGAAGATGAATCCCTGCAGTCACGAGTATATTAATTAAGAAAAAAAATAGAGGAGAGGTCTCGAATCCCCCCCTCACCTACCACCCGGCAGAGGTCGCAAACAGATTTTGATTCCTTATCCGTACCCGGCCGCACCAGGGTCGCAAACGGGTACCGGGTAGGGTACGGGTACAGGTACCCGATTGCGACCTCTGGGATGAAGCCACGTTGCACGCGATGGTGGGTTGATTCTAGGAACGTGAATTGTGAGAAGAGACAAGACGTTGGGGAAATGAGTGACAAACGGTGACTCACCAGTGACTCACGGCCTACCCGTACCCGGCCGCACCAGGGTCGCAAACGGGTACCCGTACCCGGCCGGGTACGGGTACCCGTTCCCTACCCGTACCCGTACCCTACCCGAAATGAGTGACAAACGGTTACTCACCAGTGACTCACGGCCTACCCGTACCCGGCCGCACCAGGGTCGCAAACGGGTACCCGTACCCGGCTGGGTACGGGTAGCCGGGTATCGGGTAGGGTACGGGTATCAGGTACCCGGTTGTGACCTCTGCCACCCGGGGGTTATCCGGCATCACCTGCTGGCGAGGCCGTACTGCAGCTTGACCTTGCAGATGATGGTGCCATGCACGACCAAGAGTCGCGTCTCTGGGCTGGGGAAGGAGAACGCTTGCAACGGCATCCCCCTACACACACCGATACGAAGACAAAGGTCCCCCGCTTAGCCTGTAACAGACTATCTAGTGGCGGGGAGGGAAACACCGGCACTGTGGCACGCACAGAGAGGGTGGCTGGCCAGCATCAGAGATACACGGAGATACACACAACAACAACAACTGCCATTCGCCACTAAGTGGCGGTGACGTCACCACGACGCTTGTGCCAGGCCATGTGCACGTTGAGGCCACGTGAAGTGTCGAATGCCTGCTGGCAGGTCACGGGGCAGACCCAGGTGCCACGGGTCGATTGAGATGAGTGGCTGATGCACCACCTGTGCCCCCTCCTGTGCTAACTTGTTGTGCTTTAGCCACCCGGCGATCTGCTCGTTGTTGTGAGCGTCGCTCCTCCCCCCTCTGTTGTTGTTGGAGGGCGACTGCCTGCAACTGCCCAGTAGCGTCCTTCACGAGCCTCCTCCACAGAGGCCGATCTTGACACCGCTGGTACCAGTCATCGGCAAGTCCACTCAGCTCCACGTCTTCCTGTACCACGTCACTCCATCTCTTCTCTAGCCCGTGCCGTGCCCGTTTAGCCCCCTCGATCCGGCCGAACAAAAAGTGTTTAGGTGGCTGGGCATGCGGGCTACGTGACCCAGCCAACGCAGCTTTGCCTGCCGGAGGAGCTCACCGATGGGACTTTGTCCAGATCTTTCAAGGATATGTGAGCTCCTCACACAATCCACCCTGGTTAAACCCAGGATGGATCGTAGGCAGGCCAGCCTAAATGTTTCTAACCGGTCGAAGATGCTCCATTAGGGGGGGTCCACGTTTCACAAGCGTAGAGAAGGGAGGGAATGACCGTGACCGAGATGACCCGAAGCTTCGTGCGGAGCGACAGACCAGGTAGCTTCCACACAGCGTTACGCAACCGATGAAAAGATAATGCTGCTCGACTGATTCAGAGTGAGACATCTGCTGCTAAACTGGAGCCGGTCATGAGCACACTGCCCAGGTATGGGAAACTCTCCACTCTCTCCACAACTGCCCTATCACCTATGGGGAACTGAGGGGTGGGGTGTTTGGTGGCACTAAATACCTAGGCAGGTGCTTAGTTTTGGTGGGGCACACAGATACACACAGAGATACATACACACAGATTCACAGACACACAGAGATGTATACATATGTAATAAACCCACTCCGGACGATATCGTATTTTCGTGTCTTGTCTCTCATATCGCTGGGTTCCTTTCTCACGTTACCCCCGTTACCCCCGTTACCCCAGCGTGGCGTTCACTCGCTTCCCTCGCTCCCTCACACCGTTGGCTAACGGCGTTCGGGAGACAGCCAGCGGCCACGTGGCAGGCCGGAGGCACAGACGTGGTCCCTCCTCAAACCTCTCCACACTGACCACGCGCTGTCTCTCTCCACCCCTTATAACACCTGGTTGCTCACGTGATGCCACGCAGCCAATCATCAGCCTCAGCCCTGGAACCTTCTAGATGTTCATCTTCTCGGTTCTTTCGGTAAAGTCACGTAGAAGGGAAGTAATAAAATAATAAAAATAAAACATAATACAATAATTCGCACGACAATTGGTTTTTTACCCTTCTATCTGGCAACAAAACTGGCACCTTTTTACAAGGAGTCATGTTTGCATAGACCGCAATACCTGCAGTCATAATACAAACAAAAAACATAACTCTGATAATGTGCACTGTCAGAGTTATGTTTTTCATCTTAAGATGTTTCTTGTTCGCGTTTTTGTTTTTTGTTTGTTGCATTTGCACCCGATTCAAGAGCCGAATGGCTCACAGGGCTATAACTAATAAATGAACTGAACTAAATGAACTGAAACATCCACCCACCCAACTTACCCACCTACTCACTCACCTACTCACTCATCTACTCACCTACTCACTCACCTACTCACCTACTCATTCACCTACACACTCACCTACTCACTCACCTACTCACCCACCCTCCTCCGATTCGCAGGGTTGGCTACGTACGGTGCCAAAGAAGTTCAACAAACATACAAACATCCACCCAACTTACCCACCTACTCACTCACTCACTCACCTACTCAACCACCCACACACCTACAATTAACACGGTTGGCTACGTACGGCGCCAGAGTACTTCAACATATGCACAATGAAAACCCTTAAAAGGCCGCGGTGGCTTTTTAAACCGCGGTAACGTCGCAAGCGGATAGACGGCACGTGGCAGAGGTCGCAACCGGGTACCCGATACCCGTACCCTACCCGATACCCGTACCCGGCCGGGTATGGGTACGGGTACCCGTTTGCGACCCTGGTGCAGCCGGGTACGGGTACGGGTAGGCCGTGAGTCACTGGTGAGTAACCGTTTGTCACTCATTTCGGGTAGGGTATGGGTACGGGTAGGGAACGGGTATCCGTACCCGGCCGGGTACGGGTACCCGTTTGCGACCCTGGTGCGGTCGGGTACGGGTAGGCCGTGAGTCACTGGTGAGTCACCGTTTGTCACTCATTTCCCAACGTCTTATCTCTTCTCACAATTCAAGTTCCTAGAATCAACCCACCCGCGCCTGCAACGTGGCTTCATCCCAGAGGTCGCAATCGGGTACCCGATACCCGTACCCTACCCGGCCGGCTACGGGTAGGGGTACGGCCGGGTACGGGTACCCGTTTGCGACCCTGGTGCGGCCATGTACGGGTAAGGATTCAAAACCCGTTTGCGACCTCTGCCGTGCGAAAAATTCCCGAATGCCGAGTGGTCGCTTTCAATGCCCGCTTTTTTTCGTCCGCTGTCCGCAGGGCACGCTGCCGGTCCACTCTCAAGTCTGCGGCAACCACCAATACAGAGCCAAAAGCGGTTTCTGTTGCAAGCTCTGTCCCGCAGGTAACCAGATGGACGGGATGGACAGGGTGGGGGGGGGTAGTCCTGACATATTCTCTCAACCTATTTTATATTTCGATTTAAAGCTTTCGTGACTGCAGGGATTCATCTTCTTGGTTCTTTCGGTAAAGTCATCGCGTAGAATTCAGACTGTCTTCTCGACAGACCTGTTCTTTTAATTCTAGATGTGAAGCTTTCGTGACTGCAAGGATTCATACTCTTAGTTCTTTCGGTAAAGTCACGTAGGTAAAAAATGAAATTAAAATAAATAGAAAATAAAATAATAAAAATCACGACGTTTCGGAGGCAACACAAGTCTCCGTCATCAAGTGGGACCGTCACAGCCAGATTTGCTGCATCAAGTGAGGCAAGGATTCAAGATGCAAGCTCTTAAATGTATTTAAGAGCTGGCATCTTGAATCCCTGATCTTCACCTGAGGACGGCTGCTTGCATTGTGGCCGAAACGTCGTGAGAATTATTTTATTATGTTTAATTTTCATTGCAAGCTCTTAAATGTATTTAAGAGCTTACATCTTGAATCCCTGATCTTCACCTGAGGACGGCTGCTTGCGTTGTGGCCGAAACGTCGTGAGAATTATTAAATGTTTTATTTTTATTATTTTATTATTTCCATTCTACGTGAATTTACCGAAAGAACCAAGAAGACTATTTTATATTCTACCAGCAGTAACTAATTTCACCAGCAGTAACTAATTGGAACGTTTTGTAACCCCTGCCTAAATTGGCTGTGTCTGGCAATGGCGGTAGTGACGGCTGGCTGGCTTAACGAAAAACACGCAACATTTATATGAAATGGGACCTTTTTTTGCCAGTATCAATGTATGAACAAATAAGAATATGTTTTATCCTTTCTGGCAATACAACAGGAGGTGTTAAGATGTTCAAGCAACAAATTGAAACCTTTTCATTTTTCGAGGGTAATGTTATTGGCTCTGCAAAAGCCTCAATTGCAACACAAGCAATCATCATCAGGTATAAATGAAATAGAAACACAAATCTAGTATACTTAGAAATGTAATGTAATACAACAGAGAATCGGATAACATAACAGTCCACACCCTACCTGGTTGATTACGTTCTTCCTGAGAATGCTAAATTTGAGAGAGAGATAAAACACAGAACCAGAGACATATAGACAGACATATAAGTAGAGACAGATAAGTAGAGACATATGTCTGTCTATATGTCTCTGGTTCTGATGACGATTGCTTGTGTTGCAATCGAAACGTCGTATGCTAGTATTTAATTTAGTATTTTCTCTTTATACGTGACTTTACCGAAAGAACCAAAGAGTAATTCTTGCAGTCACGAAAGCTCCAAATTAAGTTTCTACAAAGGCCTTTTCAATTAATTACCTGAAAATAAATACCTAAATAAGCTATTAAATATACGTGAAAATTATCTCACCACTTTGCCTCACTCTCATCAACGTGTCTCTCATCAATTTCTCTCTCCGTCTCCCATCACTTTCTCTCTCATCACCACTTCATTTTATCACTCTATATCTCACAACGCACACGCTCACCCCAATGGGGACAAGGGTTAAAAACGCAACCGTTAACGTAACGTGCATTCCCATTTTTCTGCTTTCTCCCCCCTCCTTCCCATCTCCCCAGGTAGGTTCCTGGAAAAAGAATGCCCCACGCAAGGAAGCACGTCCATCTGCGAAGCTTGTCCCGCCGGTTTCTTTACGGCGATCGACAACTACTCTGAAAAATGCTTCAAATGCCAGCCCTGCGAATCAGGTGATTCACAACCATTCCTTCCGCCGAAACTGAGCCTTGTGGCAATTATGTAGGGAGCATCAACAGTGGCTAAGAGATGTTAACTACCTCGCCTGGTATGGAGGAGGTCGTGGGTTCGATACCGACCCTGCGAGAAGTTGTCCCTCGCCTGGTATCAGAGGTCGCAACCGGGTACCCGATACCCGTACCCTACCCGATACCCGTACCCTACCCGATACCCGGCTACCCGTACCCGGCCGGGTACGGGTACGGGTACCCGTTTGCGACCCTGGTGCGGCCGGGTACGGGTACAGGTAGACCGTGAGTCACTGGTGAGTAACTGTTGTCACTCATTTCCCAACGTCTTGTCTCTTCTCACAATTCAAGTTCCTAGAATATCAACCCACCCGCGCCTGCAACATGGCTTCGTCCCAGAGGTCGCAATCAGGTACCCGATACCCGTACCCTACCCGTACCCAGCCGGGTACGGGTAGGGTACGGGTACGGCCGGGTACGGGTACCCGTTTGCGACCCTGGTGCGGCCGGGTACGGATAAGGAATCAAAACCCGTTTGCGACCTCTGCCTGGTATGCAGGAGGTCGTGAGTTCGACCCCGACCCTGACGCCTGCTGCTGTGTATTTGTGGAGTTTGCACGTCTTCATTTCTCCCCGTGGTGGTCGCGTGGATTTTTTTCCGGGACCTCCAGTTTTTCCCCTCCACGTTTAAAATCAATGTCACGCGTGTAAGATGAAGTTAGTTGTACAGTCGACCCTTCTGCATCGCGACTTTCCCCATCGCGGTTTCGATATATCGCGGGGTCGGCACGAGAAATATAATGGGATTTTTTTTTTTAGTTTTGCGAAAGCCGCAGACGACACACAAAAAGTGTAGTAACTCAGAAATGCATAAAATCTATGTACAGTACTGTATAAAATTGATGCATTTTATATTTGAACACCATAAATTTCCAGACAAAAATGTATAGTTACATTTTGTATAAAGTTTAAGTTTGCGAAAAGAACGCGAAAGCCAGCAGACGACACGCAAAAAGCTAACAGCGCCCCCCCCCCCCCGGAGGTGCAAACAAAAATGAAACAACTCTGATAATGCATATCATTATCAGAGTTGTTTCTTTTTGTTTGCATTTTGACTGCTTGTGTTGCGGTTATTGCAAACATGATGCCTTGTATAAAGGTGTCAGTTTTCAGTTTTGTACCAGTTGAAAGGGTAAAAACCTACTACTATATTTTGCATTTTGACTGCTTGTGTTGCGGTTATTGCAAACATGATGCCTTGTATAAAGGTGTCAGTTTTGTACCAGTTTAAAAACCTACAACTATATTTTGCCACTGGTAAAGGAGGTCTCATTGAGGCCATAGAAACCCGTTCTGTTGAAACCAGTGGCGGCTCCTGCAAAATCTCTCAGTGGGGGCAAATGTCTGGATGATTGATAAGGATAAGGTCCACCCATGCAATGAATAAATTAACAGCTTAAGCATGTAAAGGCAACTTCACTTCTTTAATATTAATGAAAAATAAAGTGACTCTTACAATACATCTTGTTTGTTTATATACTCACTATTAAAACAAACCACTCAAGTTTATTTTATTAAAGATTCCACTCGGTAGCGATAAATTATATTGTTGACTGAAACGTGCTTACGTATGATGACGTTAGCACGTATGATGACGTAAGCACGTTGGGGCTTGCCCTCCCGGAGCCATAGAGAATGCATTGGAGCGCCCCCGTTCGAAAAAAAACATCTTTCAATGTAAGTCTATGGGGCCACTTGGGGCGATTCTCAGCCGGAGTGAAATCGCCCCAAAAGAGGCGGTACTCCACAGAACGTGACATGACGCTGATTGGACTATATCCAGAGGCTGACAGTGACGGCTAGCGTGACTGTGGTTGAATGACATTGGTGGTGCGTCGCCCAATCGCCCTAATGAAGAAACCGCCCCTGGTTGAAACTGTCCCAAGTGTCCAGCGATCGTTGGTCACCTTTGCTGCGATGTTAGGCAATACCCCGATGCTGTGCTGTCAAATATCTTTTAAAAAACCAAAGTGCTTACCGTACCACGTCGTCGTCCACTCATTGACATGCTAATTTTTTCTCTGCCCCCTCCCTCTCTCCGCCCCCGCCCCCTCTCTATATTTAAGGCCTCGTCACAGAAACGACCTCTCTCTTTCTGCCGATATGTGTTCTCTCTCTGTGTGTCTTTGTGATGTCTGTCTGCTTGTGTGTCTGTCTATAGTTTTCTGGTTAGATTTTTGTTGTATTTCTTTTATACCTGATGATGATTGCTTGTGTTGCAATCGAAACGTCGTAGTATGCTATTATTTAATTTATTATTTTATCTTTATACGTGACTTAACCGAAAGAACCAAAGAATAATTCCTGCAGTCAAGAAAGCTCCAAAATTGAGATTGAACTCATTTCCCACTTTTATGTCTCCAATTTTGACCGATTTTAAACAAGAAAAAACCCACGTGTGGTTAAAATAAACACTGTGCGGCTGTTGAGGGGAAGAAGCAAATACTGAATGGACAGATTCCCCCGTGACCGGTCTTGGGCCGCTGCTTGAGGAGACGTCCCTCCTTGTCATCGTCGTCCGATCTTCGGACAAAAAAAAAACTCCGATTGAGCAGATTTTGTCTTTTCAATTTAAAGCTTTCGTGACTGCAGGGATTCATCTTCTTGGTTCTTTCGGTAAAGTTATCACGTAGAAGGGAAATAATAAAATAAAAAAATACAAATGTTTTTTTTTAAATAAAATATTTATTCTAAAATGTTTAGTTTAAAAACAATAGTTGTTGTATTAAGTGTTTTGTTTACATTGTAAAGCGAGTTAAATAGTTATAATATTTAGTTAAAATTTCACTTTGTTGTGAGGTAAATAGCAGGAATGTGCAGTACTGTAATGTACTAATAAGTTAATAACTTAGTTAGCTTGCCTGGTATGATAATAAAGACAAATAGTTGCGTGGTTAAGTGATTTGTTTACATTATAAAGCGACTAAATTATTATTATTTAGATTTAAAGCTTTCGTGACTGCAGGGATTCATCTTCTTGGTTCTTTCGGTAAAGTCACGTAGAAGGGAAATAATAAAATAATAAAAATAAAACATAAAATACAATTCTCACGACGTTTCGGCCACAACGTAAGCAGTCGTCAAGGCGCCCTTCCTCCCCTAACCCAGCTTAAATATACGCTGCCAAGCTTGGTGGTGTTCATTCAGACGCTGTCTTTCCGACAGACCTGTTCTTCACCTGAGGACGGCTGCTTGCGTTGTGGCCGAAACGTCGTGGGAATTGTATTTTATTACATTTGATTTTTATTATTTTATTATTTCCCTTCTACGTGATGACTTTACCGAAAGAACCAAGAAGACACATTTTATCCGTTAAATCCGAGAACCGTTCAATGATCCGCTGAACCGAGGGTTTACTTTATCTCACAATTCCCGTCGTGAGGAGAAAAAAATCTATCGTTATAGAACAACGGGCTGCAATGACAACGACGATGACGGTGGTGGTGGCGGCGATGTTGTCAAACCCCCTGCTCCCCTCCTTTTTGCTTTCTTTCCCCACCGTCCACAGACGAGGTGGAAGTAAGTCCGTGCAGCGCATCTTCAGACAGGGTCTGCACGTGTATGCCGGAATTCTACAAACCGGAGGGTGAACACTTTTGCAGGCCACAGGCCACCACCGCAGGTATGCGCATACGCACGGAGGACTTCTTTCTCACCGTACGTAGCCAACCATGCTAATTGGAGGTATGTGGGTGGGTATGTGGGTGGGTGAGTGGGTGGGTGGGTGAGAAATTTGGGTGGGTGACTGGGTATATGTAGAACTTCTTTCGCACTGTACATAGCCAACCGGCTCACCCCAAAAACACGTATCAACCCCCGAATAGGGCCACTGTGGCTAGGAGATGTAAACTCCGATTTAAAGCTTTCGTGACTGCAGGGATTCATCTTCTTGGTTCTTTCGGTAAAGTCACGTAGAAGGGAAGTAATAAAATAATAAAAATAAAACATAATAAAATAATTCTCACGACGTTTCGGCCACAACGCAAGCAGCCGTCCTCAGGAGGTGAAGACCAGGTCTGTCGGGAAGACAGCATCTTCAGAAGCTGTCTCCCCGATAGACCTGGTCTTCACCTGAGGACGGCTGCTTGCGTTGTGGCCAAAACGTCGTGAGATTTATTTTATTATGTTTTATTCCAGATTTGAAGCTTTCGTGACTGCAAGGATTCATATTCTTAGGTTTTTTTCGGTAAAGTCACGTAGGTACAACATCAAAATTAATGAAAATAAAATAAAACAAAAATCACGACATTTCGGAGGCAACACAAGTCTCCGTCATCAGGTGGGACCGTCACAGCCGAATTAGCTGCATCAAGTGAGGCAATGATTCAAGATGTAATCCCTTATAAGCAAGTTGAAGGGGGGAGGAGAGGGGGGGGGGCTCATCAGAATGTGGTAGCCAATGAATGGAAATGTATCGGGAGGGAGGGGGGCGGGGCTCAAAGACAGCACGGAGTGCTCAACACATGATACACATGATAGACAAAAGAACGAAAATGCCCATGTTTATACCAATGCTGGCTGAACAGTGAAGAGAGTACTGTTACAAAATAACTGGGGATGTTAACACTCGGTAAAGTAAAGTAAAATAGTGCCTGTCAGATAAGATGGTCCAAAAAAGTGTAATTAAGTCTTTTTTGCGTGGTTGATAACATCTTTCCAATGATTACTAAGTTTGTACCCATCATCACGGTTGAAATTATGTCTGTGTTTGTATATTTGTATGGCTTCGTGTACAAACCTTTGATGGTAGCCTAAGAATATTATGTTTTATTTTTATTATTTTATTACTTCCCTTCTACGTGACTTTACCGAAAGAACCAAGAAGATGTAAACTCGCTTGCCTGGTATACAGGAGGTCGTGGGTTCATACGCTGGTGCAACCCCAACAATGCCTGATTCACAAATGGCCCCTCCTTTTTAAACGGGCGTGTTTTTCTGTGCGTGTGTGCGTGCGTTTTTCACAGATTTCCAAGTATCTGATGGAGCCACCCTTCCGATTGCCATCGGCGGTGCTGTTGGCGGCGTGTGTCTTTTAGTCGCAGCAGCAGTGGCTTGTTATTTCCTGATGAGGAAACGCCGACGACGCGGTAAGTAACTCCCAATTTATGCGGTTGGCTACGTATGGTGAAAAAGAAGTTCAATATAAATACTACACTGCTATACATTACACTATACACTAAACCACTATACACTTCGATTTAAAGCTTTCGTGACTGCAGGGATTCACCTTCTTGGTTCTTTCGGTAAAGTCACGTAGAAGGGAAATAATAAAATAATAAAAATAAAACATAATAAAATAATTCTCACGACGTTTCGGCCACAACGCAAGCAGCCGTCCTCAGGTGAAGAACAAGTCTGTCGAGAAGACAGAGTCTGAATGACTATACACTGCACTGCTACACACTAAACTACTATACACACTACACTATACAGTACACTACACTAGACATTAAACGATACACTACGAGTCTGCGCAGACTTGTCGCAAGTCGCCTCGGTGTCGGTAGCAGTCGTTAGGCGTTTGTGGATACGAGTTTTGATCGTTACTGTGGGGGGTTTAACTGACTCAGAAAGGTTATAAAAGTCGGGGCTCCCCTGTGTACTAAATTGAAAACTAATTTCTTGAGAACTGCTTTTTGTTGTTGTGTTTAGTTAGTTGTTCTTCCCCCGCACCGCCGATTAGCACGGCTGGCTATGTACGGTGTCAAAGAAGTCCAACATGCACACGTAAAAAAATGTTCTGACCCCGTGCCCCATCCTGGACATCTTTGAAAAAGAGCTTCATAGCTCATCGGATTTCTCCAGGATGTAAAAAATATTTCCGATTCTAAGGGATTCTGAAATGTCCTCTTGTTTATCCACAGCCAAGAAGTCTCCAGTAAGTTGCAATATTCCGATGGAGGTAATGGAAAATGTATCCGCGAGCAGGCAAGACAACATTGTCAACAACCAAGCACAGCATGAGCCGCTCCTTCACGATGTCGTTTGCAGTAATGGGATCGTCAGTCAGTTGGTAAGCAATCCAGCGATTCCCCTCTTGCGCCTGCATGAGAATACAGCAGAGGTCGCAAACGGGTTTTGATTCCTGACCCGTACCCGTACCCGGCCGCACCAGGGTCGCAAACGGGTTACCCGTACCCGGCCGTACCCGTACCCGGCTGGGTACGGGTAGGGTACGGGTATCGGGTACCTGATTGCGACCTCTGGGATGAAGTCATGTTGCAGGCGCGGGTGGGTTGATTCTAGGAACTTGAATTGTGAGAAGAGCAAGACGTTGGGAAATGAGTGACAAACGGTGACTCGCCAGTGACTCACGGCCTACCCGTACCCGGCCGCACCAGGGTCGCAAACGGGTACCCGTACCCGGCCGGGTACGGGTAGCCGGGTATCGGGTAGGGTACGGGTATCGGGTACCCAGTTGCGACCTCTGGGATACAGGTAGTCCCCGACTTACGATAGAGATGCGTTACGACAACCCCATCGTAAGTCGAAAATGGCCTAGCCTACCCAGGAGTCTTAAAGAATGGTGATAATTTAGCAAAACAGAGCAATTTACAGTACCGTACTGTATAAACTATATGCCGTATGTATTTATTAATTACAATACTGTATTGCACAGTAAAATGTAAAGTAAAAAAAACAAGGTAAATTCTTAGCCTACCTATATGAACTGCAATTTCATAGAAAGTTTTTTTCAGGAAACAATCCTATCTGCTATAAAAAAAACTTTTAACATGCACTGAACGTATCGTATCGTGGTAACCTTAAAATGAATTCATTAAAGCTACGTATCATACATGCATTGAACGTATCGTAACGTATCATATTGTACTCTACTCACCAAGATTCGCACTAACACTAAGACAACTTAACTCCGTCGACCGCTGGTGAGAGTGAGAGGCATCACACAAGGCGGAAGATGCATGCAGTACATCCCGGCAGCGTCCCAACGTACAGTATCGTACCTCGTACGCCGCTGCTGCGTTTGACTGCCGCGCAAAATGTAAAATATTTCACAATCTTGTCGTATCATTATCGCCATCGTAAGATCGAAATATCGTAAGTCGGACCATCGTTAAGTCAGGGACTACCTGTATGCGTTTCCCTCGTCACGTGCAACATTTCTCTCGTTATAACGCGACGAGGGATAACATTCCGCAGACGGGTCGTGAATGTCAAATTTTAGCGATGATCTTTATTGGCTCTACGGAGAAAACTCTACATCTTCGCAATGAATTACCTAGAATTAATTCTAGATTTGAAGCTTTCGTGACTGCAAGCATTCATACTCTTAGTTTTTACGGTAAAGTCACGTAGGTAAAAAATGAAATAAAAATTAATAAAAATAAAATAATAAAAATCACGACGTTTCGGAGGCAACACAAGTCTCCGTCATCAGGTGGGACCGTCACAGACAGATTTGCTGTATCAAGTAAATCTGGCTGTGATGGTGAGTACTGTTAAACGCTGGGGATGTCAACACTCGGTAAAGTAGAATAGTACCTGTCAAATAAGATGGTCCAAATATGCGTAGTTAAATCTTTTTTAAATGCTTAATAACATCTTTCCAATGATTACTCAGTTTGTACCCATCATCACGGTTGAAGTTATGTTGTTTTTATTTTGGTTGCCTTGCCCTAAGCTTGCATTCATGGTTGAACGACCGCCAGGAATGTATGCACTTATGCAATTTGACCTTTACACCATTGGATCCTCATTTGCCAGTAAAAAAATGATAATTGGTGTTTTACCCTTCTATCTGGCAACAAAACTGACACCTTTTTTTACAAGATAGATACAGATAGAAGGGTAAAAAACCAATTATCATATTTTTACTGGCAAATGAGGTTCCAATGGTGTAAATGCTTACCCCGAGCTCTCATAATCTGATGGTGCATTGTCTGAGTTGTGCGCCTTTTGGCGTCATCTGGTCCAACCCATGTGAGACTAGGCTCTAAGGAAAGCTGTCTCGGGTGTGAACCAATCAACTTCAAGGACAGTGCACATTATCAGAGTTATGTTTTTTGTTTGCATTATGACTGCAGGTATTGTGGTCTATGTAAACATAACTCCTTGTAAAAAAAGGTGTCAGTTTTGTTGCCAGATAAAAGGGTAAAAAAACAATTATCAATTTGTCCTTGTTCATGTTATTTACTATTTGTTGACTTGATTACCATTTTCTCTAATTTGCACTCCTATCAGTTTTTGTTGTGTTTGTCGTTGTAACTTGCCACGGTGGCTAGGGAGATGTGAACTACCTCGCCTGGTATGGAAGAGGTTGTGGGTTCTATCACCTGACCCTGACGATGCCTGCTGCTGTATATGTCAAGTCTGCATCTCCCTCTCTCTCTCCATGGTGGTCGCGTGGATTTTTTGTTTCTTGCCTTCCCCATTCACGGGGGGGACCTCAACCACGTCCTTCATCATCACTTGAAGTGACACGCAAGGCACTTTTTGGACCCGCGTGCTGGTAACCTTCAACAACGAAGCTTGGAAAGCTAAAAGGAGTTCAAAAGAACTCGGACAAAACGCATCCTTGTGAAAGACCTGATGCAGAAAATTCCCAGGGTTTTGATCTCCCAAGAAGCTGATCATGGTCCACAACCCTAAACGGCATAATCCAATTGCACAAACCACAACAGCAGCAGATGACGCGGATACCCGATGCACAAATGGAAGATTAAAAACTCTCCAGTGGTAGTGTGGCTACCGTTAGTCATCCAGAGCAGGGAGCGTAGTACAATATTTGATGACACAATAACGCCCCGATCCACAAATATGAAGTTAGACATCATCATGGTGATGATAATACTACAGTGATACCTCGGTTCACGAACTTAATTCGTGAACTGACTCTGGTCCCGAACTGAATTGGTCGTGAACCGAGGCACATTTTCCCATAGGGTTCAATGTAAATCCGGTTAATCCGTTCTGACCTTTTTTTTGGTTTTTGAAGCACAAAAATATGAAACAAATTACAATACACATTAGTACTGTACAGTATAGTAATGTATAAAGACAGAACACTAACCTTGCTTGAGATGACTTCAGTAAGCACTCAAACGGGTGAACTGTACAATACAGTAAGTACAGTATTGTATAGTACAGTAGTACAGTACAGTACTGTATGTGCTAAAAAGCACACCAAAAAGCAAAAAGTCACTGAAAGTGTCTTCACAGTACTCACAGTACTTCTTTCTGTGTCTCTTCTTCTCTTCACGATCTTCCTACAGGAAGTCACGACCATGTGACAGCCTGGAAATAGCATTAAAATGGCCGCAGCTCCTGTTCGTGAACCGAAGCGGAGTTCGTGAACCGGAGCATATTTTTATGAACTTTTCTGTTCGTGAACCGAGTTGTTCGTGAACAGAAGCGTTCGTGAACCGAGGTATCACTGTACTCCACTTGCTACTCCTGACGTGGTTATCTGCTGGGCTTGACCACCTGCATGTGACATTATTGTAGTCGTTGTGTGCTTTGCATCTACACCGGCCGTACGACCCAAGATCGTCGCTTGTGCACCACCGTCTCCGATTAGTAAGAACGGTTCTGGAGATGTTTCTCTGCATCGTTTCGATTTACCGCAGCTCTCGTGCGTCGTGTTATCCCTCAGGTGCCACCAACTGACTATTCAAGATATAACATACCCGTCACGGGTAAGTAAAACAAATTTAACTTGACAGTTATTCCGTCGGTATTCGGAAAGAGACACGTTTTAGGAGATGCTTGTGAAGAGCAAATTTCGCCGGTGATGTTGGCTCGACGAATATCGTACGCGCAACAGCTGTCAGATGCCTTCTACTAAAGCTTTAGAGAAGTTATCTTTCTCATCTCTTTTTCTGATGACTTTATTTAACCGCTTTAGCTCTCATCGCTTTATCTCTCGTCATTCTCTCTCTCTCTCTCTCATCACTTTCTCTTTCTCTCTTGATGCAGCAGTTCCAAATTCCATTCGCGGACGGCCAAAAAAATTGCGGATCGCCAAGTTCTCAACATTCGTTTCGGTCGTCTCAACCTCTTACCACCGGCCCCCCAACAAAAAAAGGCGGCCATTTTTTGACAATAACGTTTGTGACAAGAGTTTCACCCACTCAAACGCATTTCCCCTTTACAGAGGAAGACCTCATGGAAATCCACAAGGCTCGAGCCGACAGCTCGGCGGTGGCCTTCGTGAACGTGATGAGGAACGCCGGTCTTCCGGAAAGAGTCATTGAAAGGATCCAGCACGACTACAAAAACAACGTGGAGGAGCAAAACTACAAGATGTTGTTTGAGTGGTTGCAGGTGATGGGTAGGAAAGCCACATGTGCCGCCCTTCTAAAGGCTATGGATGAGTGCCGTTTGCACAAGCTGAGCGAGGACTGCCAGAAGAAGTTTGACGAAATAATTGAACGGAAAGGTCTTCAAAAATGTGCCAAAAACGATGATGACGACGAAGATGGTTAAAATGGTGAGGTGTATTGCACAGAATAAACTAAACAAGAGAAAACACAAACTTGCATCTCTCTTTAGCTGTGAAGCTGAACCAAAGCACCATTTTTCAGTGTGTTACGTGGTGTTGGAGGGAAAAAAAGCGGAGGACCCGCGAGGAAAAAATCCATGCGACCACCACGGGGTGAGAGACACGCATTCAAAATATACACCAGCAGGCGTCAGGGGGTCGGGATAGAACCCACGACGTCTTGCATACCAGGCAAGGTAGTAAACATCTCCCAGCCACCGCGTCTTGAGGCCGCAGTTTACACGAGCTACTCACCATTGTGGTGGTAGGGCAACGGGGCTAAACTGTACTGATGAGCCCTAATGAAGGTGAAACCGGTATGAGCACTGTTGCACATCAGAGCAACATGAATATATTGGTTAACACGTAGGAGGCTTTCGCGACGAATATCATTCGTAATAAAGGAGTTTGTTGTGGGTTAGATGGCGTAAATATAAATGTGGTCTCGTTAAACACTGCCGCCACCACCCGACAGCCAATCGGTAAGGGGTTAGTTGTGTCAACACAATTCTGACAAATTTCCCAATGAAACTGCTGGTTGTTGTAATGACTGGTGAAACGTCACACACCAGCTAACTCGAATTGTAAAAAGTTGTTGTGCATTTACTACTCTCCAACACACACAACAACCAGTTTAGTGCACCAAACTAAGTAAACTAAATTGAATGCCTGTGTGTTGATCGGTGGTGGCGGTAGTGGGTTCAACGGCACGCATTTATATTTAACACTATCTAATCCAAAAAAAAATACCTTTACCATGCAGGAATATATTTGTGTCGCCAAAACTGCAATGGGCGTGCACAGGTTAGCAAGTCGCACGCGCGGACGCAGGCGTGCGAGTGGGATTGACCCTGGGCAGTCCCTCCACCATCATCATTCCCATCAGAGGCAGTTATAAAATGAGGCGTACTTTGTGGAAAATTCAGCTAAAGTACTTGCGTACGTTGAATTTCTTTGGGCGTCGTATGTAGTCAATCACGCTAATCGGGAGGTGGCGGGCGGGCGGGCGGGCAGGGACAAACCGACCTTTGAGCAGGATGTCACGTTGATCGATTTCCAGCAGAACATCGCACAAAATTGTTCCAAAAAAATTAAAACCTCGCTATTCAACATTCCAGTTTAACAGAAACAGATATTTTTTTATAATCGATTTTTCATTTGCCCCCGTGACAACTTGGATTTGATTGGCCACGATTGGTCTATGGACACGTGCACGTTGAACTTCTTTGGCGGCGTATGGAGCCAAACCGTGCTAAAAATAGGGAAAAACTACATACACGAAGAGCAGGTCTAAAGGTCTACCCGAAACAAACGTTCAATATGACGACTCCAAAACTTAAGTTGTATAAATCGGTGCCGTGCAGCTTATTGCGGCCCCAGTGTGCATCCGGTCTGCAGTTGCCATGTTGCCTCACTGCCACAACATTTGAGGTCGAAACATTCTCCCCCTTTTAAAATCTGGGAACTCGGAGAGGGGTAACCGGTGTGAGTGGCCCGGAGATGTTAACTGCCTCGCCTGGAATACAGGAGGTCCCCGCGGGTTCGATCCCGACCCTGACGATTATACTCTTAGGTTTTTTCGGTAAAGTCACGTAGGTAAAAAATTAAAAGTTAATAAAAGTAATAATGGAAATAAAATAAAATAATAAATCATGACGTTTCGGAGGCAACACAAGTCTCCGTCATCAGGTGGGACCGTCACTTGCAGTCACGAAAGCTTCAAATCCTGACGATGATGCCTGTTGCTGCTGTTGTATATTTGGAGCCTGTGCATCTCTCTCTCTCCCCGTGGAGGTTACTGCGTGGATATTTTTTCTTCCGGTCTTTCGGTTTTCCTCTTCCACGTTTAGAATCAACATCTCTGCGTAGTATTAGGTTTTTACCCTTTAAACTGGTACAAAACTGACACCTTTATACAAGGCATCATGTTTGCAATAACCACAACACAAGCAGTCAAAATGCAAACAAAAAAAAACAACTCTGATGATGATAATGATATGCACTGTCCTTGAAGTTGATTGGTCATCTGTTAAAGGGTAAAAACCTAATACTATATTTTGCCACTGATAAAGGAAGTCTCATAGTGAACATCTCTGCATGTTTAATAAGAGAATTTGGCTGCTACTCTGAATATCCACTCGAGGATAAGCCACTTGGTTGAGCTATCCTTTGTGATGGCTGGGTCACTACTGAAAAAAAGTCACGTAGCTCAGTTGGAGGGCAGGGAGCCTTAAACGTTAAAAAATTTTATAATTTTAGGTTTGACTTTCATGCCTTTCAGAGGCGTAGCTAGGGGGGGGGGGGCAGGGGGGTACATATGTCCCCGGGCGCCAAGGTAAAGGGGCGCCAAAATGAGGCTTACAACGTTACATTATAACTTATTGCGGCGGGCGCGGCAGCCTGAAACTACTGCACAAATCTACACCTCAACCTAAAAGTTTATATATCCCGCCACACACAGCCTACATGTCATGTAATTACATTTTGGTATGTGATTAAACGGGGGGGGGCGCCAATTTTATAGTTCGTCCCCGGGCGCAAAATATCCTAGCTACGTCACTGATGCCTTTCCTATTAAGTGGCAGTGGACGATGTCACCGTTTGCGAGCACAAAAGCCGCCACAAATATTTAACCCCACACTTTATCTCCCGGTTCCATTACGATGACGTACGTCATATAACTTTTATCAGTACACCGAAGGCTCGTCCCACAAGGACGATGCGACAGCGTGCATGAGCGCGCGTGTGGCACAGTTCTTGGCGCCGGCTATTGTTGTGTGACGGGGCGTTCCGTGCCACTACACTTCTCTCTGCGGTGAGTAACAATGTCTTAGAAAACTAAATAAACTATTTATATTTTACTAACGCTATTTATATTTTAACACCGGAGCCCGCTGGCGAGTAGGGATGGGCACGGGGGTCAGAACGTTACAATAAACAATAAATACCCACACAGCCACCCTGCAAACTTGCAAGACGTCATCGGTAATGGGAAAGGGGGTTAAGTATTTCATGATTATCCTTGGCAAACGGATGCTGTGGTCCATACCAAGGCTGAGGTTGCTGGCTGAGATGAGGGTTATATGGGAGGCAGCGGGGGGGGGGGTAAAAGGGGAGTTCAGCCCAGTTTAAAACTCGGATAACGCAAAACACTCCGGTGAATGAGGCGATTAAAGAGTATTTGGATACTGCTGTAAATGCCCACGTGTTGATGATATCAGCCACTTCTCGTTGTTCTGCTATTATTTGTAATTGCCAAGTCGCTCCTTGAATAAGAGCCCCACACCTGGTAAAATAACAAGATTAGTTGCGTTAAATCTATGGGTCTCTAGGTATTTTGTTGCTGTAAATATTCACGTGGTGATGATTATATAAGCCACTTCTGGTTGATTGTCTATCATTTGTGATGGCCAGGACGCTTCCTGAACCGTTAACTAAACATGTACAAAAATCGAATACAGGCAAGCCCTCGCTTATCGCGAAACCGTGTGGAACACCGATTTGTTACGAGTGCTCTTTTGTCCTGGAGATTATTTAAACCAATAATGTTTAAGAAAATAAAAAACGAGGAAATAAAAAAAATCTACAAAGCTCTTACGAACGAGGAAACGTCCCCCCCACCCCAGCCCCCATTATTCACTCAGCCAATGAGAGCGAGGCATGACTTCAGAGCCAACCAGAACCCCACTACCACCCCCACCACTATTTGATTATCACGATTTGTGGTAGCGATTGTGTATTAGTACAGTTAGAATGCACATAAGAGTACAGTACATATGTAATAATAATGAAAACAATTCTTATTCATGAGATTATAGTTTCCGACCTGTATTATTACACTGGTCAACACACTTTTTCTGGCAAAAGGTATTCCAACGGTTTGAAGGTAATTTTGAGGTGCTGATTCCAAAACTGGCATCAGTTTTTGAGATATCAAATATTGCATTTTCAATAAAAACTGCAGAAGAAAATTATTAAATAAATGTGGATATCTACATAAAATGTTATTATAAACACACTATCCTAAAAATACAGCACCATATTTTAACACTAAAGCAGTCACTGACTCGCAACAACTTGCAATCATAAGTGACAGAGTTAATTTAGGGTAAAATAAATGAAAATTGGGTATGCCGATAGCATACAAATGAGATGTGATAGAGCAAATCTGAGACCATATTTGGAATCAGCACCCTGAAATTAGTCCAGGCCAGAAATGTTTTTAATTTTTTGTTGACCAGTGTTATTGGCACTATTACCGATAGCCCACATCGAAGCCCTCGTATACAAATCGCTTGTACGAGATAAATAACGCCAAGTTGGAACGCTATGCCCCACGTACACAATGGATGCCACGGTGGCTAGGAAGATGTTAATTCCATCACCTGGTATGCAGGAAGTCGTGGGTTCGATCCCGTGACCCTGACACCTGCTGTATATTTGGAGTTTGCGTGTTTTTCTCTCCCCATGGTAGTCGCATGGATTTTCTCCGGGTCCTCTGGGTTTTCCCTTCACATTTATAAACATGCGTTTCTAAGACTATTTGGCTACTGTAAATTTCCATATGATGATAAGCCACTTCGTTGAGCTGCTAGCGTTTCTTATGGCAGGTCGCTTCTGAAAAAGCTCGGTAGTGCCTTACTTGGTAAAATAAAAAATAGTTGATAGTTTAGTTTATTTTAACACGTAGGCTTTCGCGACCAACATTATTCATAATATAGGTTTTTTGGTCAGATCGCGTTATTTATAAATGTGTCGTAACCCTTCACCACCCGACACGGCCAAACAGTAAAAAATGTGTCACGTTTTCAAAGGACAAATTAATTTACTTCTTTAGCCCACCGGTGTGCTGAAGAGAGAATCAACAGCATCTTAAATTTGAGTAGTACGACGTTTCGCTGATAATAACAATCAGCTTCATCGGGCAAGAATGGTGAAGCTCTCCTGTTGCTTCCGGTCTTAAATAGAGTTTATAGCAACCCTGCCCCCTCCGTTAGCGCCGATTTCAGTTAGCGCTCCCATCTCACGGGAACGATGAACGAATGCGTCGAGTAGCAGTGCTAAGCGAGGTCTACTGAAGCCGCACACTTAAGAAATAATGTCGTTGGAAACATGCTAATCCCCACACTCAACGGTATAGTGGCACCCTGTTAGTGCCGATCTCGGCTCGCGCTCACTTCTCCTGTAAGGAACAAACAGCTTTGCGAGTAGCGGTGCTAAGCGAGGTCTGCCTGTAATCCAGACATTTTTAAATCCTTTATATTAAGTTCTCTTGCTTGCTTGCTTGCGCGCTTACGACCGTACAAATCTTTCGGTCGTTTTTTAACCCACTTCCCGTGATCCAATCGAGCTGACATTTTCCACACAGACTCGTTGTGCGTGACAATTTATTTTGGTGAAATTTTTTTTCCAAAATTTTCCACTTTTCAGGAAAAAATGTTTTTCATATTTAATTTAAAATACCAATGTGATAAAAATTAAACTCTTACTCAAGAAAAACAGAAATAAAGAATAAAATAAAACCTATGCCACGCATATAAAGGATTTATAGTGAAAAACTTTGTTTTTATGGGTTAATTTTTTTATTATCCAAAAAAAAACCTCATCCGCGATATTTACATCGTAATTTATGTCAAAATCTGTGTGCGCCGGTTCATTCGCAAATCGGATCAACCGCACGCGCGGATAATCGAGAGCCTAACTGTATTTTGTTTGAGAGCGATAACCCGATCGTGATGGATAAAACACGAACGCTTCACGTGATGTTCAATGTCGCATGATTTAAATGTCGGCAGATGCTCTCTAGAAGATGGTGATTGCTTGCGTGCAAGATTTTTAAAAAAATGTATCGCATCGTGTATCACATTCAGCAATTTCGATTTAAAGCTTTTGTGACTGCAGGGATTCATCTTCTTGGTTCTTTTGGTAAAGTCACGTAGAAGGGAAATAATAAAACATAATAAAATACAATTCTCATGTTTCGGCCACAATGCAAGCAGCGGTCCTCAGGTGAAGAACAGGTCTGTCGTTCAGACGCTGTCTTTCCGACAGACCTGTTCTTCACCTGAGGACGGCTGCTTGCGTTGTGGCCGAAACATCGTGAGAATTATTTTATGTTTTATTTTTATTATTTTATTACTTCCCTTCTACGTGACTTTACCGAAAGAACCAAGATGAATCCCTGCAGTCACGAAAGATCTAAATCGAAATGTCCCCAACATCTTCCGTGGAGTGTCCGGATATCGATTCGAGGAGGGCTAGATCTGGCAATGCCAATTGTGCACAACTACTAGCTCAGATGAGGAGACAGTCGATGCACAGGCAATGTAAATCAAGCATAGCTCTCAACCCATGCGGTTTACCCGTATTCTTGTACAGGGAAATTGAGTTTTCGGGTCCATACGGTGCACAGCTGTGCCAATACGGGCAAAAAAGTGTCTATTTAATTGTGTTTCTCCCTTGTGATGCAACTTTGTAGGATGAACGTTGAAATGTATAAAGGGCACGGGGTGACCAATAAGGTTTGAGTTGGTCTATAATAACTGATAAGTGCTTCAATCTTGATTTGAAGCTTTCGTATCCATACTCTTCTGTTCTTTCGGTAAAGGCACGTAGGTATAAAATAAAATAAATCACGATGCTTGTGTTGCGCCCGAAACGTCGTGGTTTATTTTATTTTATACCTACGTGACTTTTCCGTAAGAACCAAAGAGTATGATAAGTGGTGTTTTTTAAGTTAGATGATTAAGAGTATTTGGCCACTGCGAGATATTTCTATTTGAAGAATCCACTTGGCTGCGACCATTCATGATAGCCACCTCGCTTCTGAAAAAATACCTGTGTAGCTTAGTGGAGCCTTGCCTGGTAATAAATATTATATATCGATAAGATGTTTTTTTTGTGTTGGATTAGATCACGTAAATGTGTCCGATCGTAAATGTCGTAGCGGGTTTGCTCTCCAACACAACCGGTTAGTGCTGAACTAGTATACTACACTATAAACTAGTGCTGTAACTCGTAACTAATTGGCACGTTCTGTTTACGTGACAAACCCTTTACTAATTAGCTGTGTCGGGTTTAAATATATGCATTTATATTTACGCAATTTAACCCAAAGAAACCCGCTTTTATGGATAACATTAGTCGAGAAAGCCCTACTACTATGTGTTAAATAGATGTAACTCTTAGGTCACTAATGTATCTATGTAAGGAAATGTATAGCAGCAGCTAAACATTCTTATTGGTGCCGAGGCACTCCCCTGCTCTCTCCCGGAGTCCCTGCAACCTACATTGAGTGATAGAACCTTTTGGCTTGTGTGTGTGTGTGTATAGAGTTGTTGTAAACCCCTAGAATCATAGTTCATGATTGTCTCAATGCTGGATTTCCGATAGCCGTGTTAATTGTACACCCTGTGTTTGTTTTATTAATGTTTTTAAAAATAAAGATTGCTTCATTAGTTGTTCAACTGCGGTTCACTCACGTGGGATGCTCCAGTTAGCGCAGTTAGCGCGGTTGGCTGCATACTGTGCGAAAGAAGTTTTACGTATGTACAAACATGATGATGCAGAGGGGTTTTTTGGGTAAAATTGTGCAAATATAAATGTGTGTCATTAAACCCGCCATCACCCGATACAGCCAATTATTAAGGGGCTTGTCACATACAAAACGTGCCAATTAGCTACTAGTTCAGCACACCGATGTGTTGGAGAGTAAACCTACAATAATTGGAGTACGACACATTTATATTTATGCAGTCTAACCCCGAAAAAAACCTCCCATGGATATTGGTCGTGAAAGCCTTCGTCTTAAACTACATAATGGTGGTGATGGTGGTGGTGATGATGATGAGGTGCCTGCATGATGACGAAGTGGGGGATTCATCTTCTTGGTTCTTTCGGTAAAGTCACGTAGAAGGGAAATAAGAAAATAATAAAAATAAAACATAATAAAATTATTCTCACGACGTTTCGGCCACAACGCAAGCAGCAGTCCTCAGGTGAAGAACAGGTCTGTCGGGAAGACAGGTCTTCAACGCAAGCAGCCGTCCTCAGGTGAAGAAACGTCGTGAGAATTATTTAATATTATTTTATTTTTTATAATTTTATTATTTCCCTTCTACGTGACTTTACCGAAATAACCAAGAAGATGAATCCCTGCAGTCACGAAAGCATTAAATAGAAGTGGGGGATGTTGACGGTGGTGATTTGTGATGGTTGTGATAGTGTTGGTGGTGATGATGAAGCCCCTGGAAGCTATCATACACTTTTAAATGATCATCATCTAGATTGACAATTCATTTCTTTTTAGAACTACAGGTAGTCCTCTACTTACGATGGGGATGCGTTACGACGACCCCATCGTAAGTCAAAAATATCGTAAGTCAAAGAAGGCCTAGCCCACCCAGGAGTCTTAAAGAATGGTGATAATTTAGCAAAACAGAGCAATTTACAGTGCCGTACTGTATAAACTATATATTGTATGTATTTATTAATGACAATACTGTATTGCACAGTAAAATGTAAAGTAAAAACAAGGTAAATTCTTAGCCTACCTATATGAACTGCAATTTAATAGCTAGTCAGGAAACAATCCGATCTGCATCACACAAGGCGGGAGATGCGTACATCCCGGCAGCGTTCCAACGTACAGTATCGTACCTCGTACGCTGCTGCTGCGTTTGCCCGCCGCGCGAAACTTAAAATATTTTACAATTTTGTCGTATCGCTATCGTAAGATCGAAATATCGTAAGTCGGACCATCGTAACTCGGGGACTACCTGTACTCCGTAGCATTTCAACACTACCCATATAATCAACACTACCCATATAATCAACACTGCCCATAGACTCAATACTACCCATAGACTGAACACTACCCATAGAATCAACACTACCCATAGACTCAACACTACCCATAGAATCAACACTACCCATAGACTCAACACTACCCATAGAATCAACACTGCTCATAGACTCGACACCACCCAGACTCATCACTACCCATAGACTGAACACTACCCATAGAATCAACACTACCCATAGAATCAACACAATTCATAGACTCAACACTGCCCATAGACTCAACACTGCACCATAGACTCAATGCCACCCATAGACTCAACACTACCCATAGAAATCAGCACTGCCCGTAGACTCAGCACTGCCCTTAGACTTGTTGCGTTTAGTTTTTTGTCCTTCCCACGCACTTTCCTATTTGCGCGGTTGGCTACGTATGGTACAAAAGAAGTTAATTGTACGTACATGATAGTGGTGGTGGTGGTGGTGATGATGGTGGTGGCGGTGATGTTAATGATGTTACCGTCTGGAACGCTATTCCCATCCGATATTAGGAAACCGCTGGGGAGCTATGATGTACTTTTAAATCATCATCTAGGCCTGACAAACTAATTTATCTAGAACTCATAATATAGGTTTTTTTGCGTCAGATCGCGTTATTTATAAATGTGTTGTAACCCTCCACCACCCGACACGGCCAAACAGTAAAAAATGTGTCACGTTTTTCACAGGACAAAATAATTCACTTCTTTAGCCCACCGGTGTGCTGAAGAGAGAATCAACAGCATTTAAAAATTTGAGTAGTGCGACGTTTCGCTGATAATTACAATCAGCTTCATCGGGCAAAGATGGTGAAGCTCTCCTGTTGCTTCCGGTCTTAAATAGAGCAGCATCAGGGTGACGTCATCATTTAATTCAATTCAATCTGGTGCAGTGATTCGAGACAAAGAGGGGGAGGGTATTGTAATTATATAGATTGGTAATCATTCAATTGTTATTCATTGGTATTTGTTTCCCGTATAAGGAATTGTAATTGTATTAATTTAATAATACGCTTCCAGGCCGCACTAAGAGAACTGTTTGTTGTTGTGGTTAGTTACTTCACACAACTACGTATGGTGCCAAGCAAGTAAAACAAAGGATACGTACATTAGTGGGTTAATGCTGAGTGGGTGAGTGGCTAACTATCAGGACAAAGACGGTGGGTCACCGCATCACGTGGCGGTTTCAGATGCGCTTCTGCGGACACCTGGAACGCTCCTCCAACATTATGAAGCCACTGGTGATATGCACTTTTACATCATCATCTAAGATTGACAAACTCATTTCTTTACAACTGCTTATTGTTGTTGTTGTGTTTAGTTTGTGGTCCTTCACCCGCACCTTCGATTAGCACGGTTGGCTACGTACGGTACCAAAGATGTTCAACATACTTACACACATGGGTTGGCGAGTGGGTGGTTGGGTGAGTGGATGGGTGAGTGGGTAAATGAGTGGATGAGTGGGTGAGTGGATAACCATCAGGACAAAGACAGTCACTGAATCATCACGTGGTGCTTTCTGATGAGCTGCTTCTGCGGCCGTCTGGAATGCTTTTCCTTCCGGTATTAGGAAGCCACTTTTACATCATCATCTAGATTGAAAACTAATTTCTTTATTCTAGATTTGAAGCTTTCGTGACTGCAAAGATTCATATTCTTAGGTTTTTTCGGTAAAGTCACGTAGGTAAAAAATTAAAATTAATAAAAGTAAAATTAAAAATGAAAATCACGACGTTTCGAAGGCAACACAAGCTTCCGTCTTCGGGTGGAACCGTCACAGCCCGACAGCTGTATCAAGTAAATGAGAGATTACAAGAGATACCACTCCGTATATATATTAGATATAACGTCATGATTTTTTATTTTACCTTTATTAATTTAAATTTTTTACCTACGTGACATTACCGAAAAAACCTAAGAATATAATTTATTTATGATTAGTTACATATGGTGTAAAAGAAGTACCAAATACGTACATACCATACTAAATGAGTGTCTGGTGCAGTGGTGTGAATAAACATCGCCACTGGGGGAGACAAAGGCCACCGTGCGTGGTGCTGGCCACCCACCCCCTCGTGTGCCGGTCTGACCTTCATTGGGCGTTGCCACTCACTAACAGCACGTGCC